GCAACGCTCCCCACGACTCACGCGCGCGTCAACCGTTGCTCGGCCTCCCCAACAGCCGCTGTTTTCAAACCGACGCACAGCAAGACCCGCCTCCTCCTTCAATTCGCCCGTTCCTATTGGTCTCAAGGCTCTCCGCCCTGCCCTTTGCCATTGGCCCGCCATCATTCTCTTACGCCCCACAGCTTTGTGCGGCAGAGAGGGCTCGGTGCTATTGGACGGGGGGAGGCGCCTACCGTCGTCTCATTGGAGGGGAGACCATCCTCGAAGGGCACCTCCTCCCACCATTAGGAGAACCGTCGGGCTTCGTCGGCCCGCCTCCCTTTCTTCCGATTTGGCGCCGTGAAGCCCGCGAGGGGAAACGGGGAGGAGAATTGCTGAGGCCACGCCTCCTCCTGGTTTCACGTTGAGAAGCGCCACAGAAAATGGCGGCGTGCAGAGGGTGTCTCCGCAGTTTCGTGGCGTTCGCTATGAGGCCAGCCTCGCGGGCTTTTTCTCTGAGCCAGGCTTTGACCACCCCTCTCACCGCCGAGGAGCTGGCGAAGAAAATACGGACTCAGAAGGAGCAGCAGCGAAAGCCTCAAAACGAGGTGAGGCCGTTAGGTCTGCCTGGTTGGGGTGGAGGAGAGAAAGACTTCATATCCCGGCATGCATCACGAGTAGGACTCCATTTCCCAGTATGCCTTGTGCAATAGAGCCCCTTTAAAAAGGTCTGGTTTGTCATGTGCTTATTCAATTTCCTGGCTGTATGCGGAATATTGCAATGTAAAGTTGGACCGTAGCTTCTCTAAGTGGTTGAGATTTATGAACAGTGAAGTCTGAAATTAAAACACACACACACAGAATTGGAAGATACCTTTATTGGACCACTTTTAAAATCAGGTGGCTAGCTAGTTTTCGATGGTAACATATTTCATTTTTATCAGGCGGTTTCCCAAAGTTTCATGGCATGGCTATTGTTCATGGAAGGCAAATATTTGTGACTGTGTGTGTGTGTGTAAACAAACGAACACCTTCTGAAGTAACAACAAGGAAGAAAAAGCTCAAGAACACGGCCAAACAGCCCGGAAAACCCACAAACAACCATTGGGTCCCAGCTATAAAAGCCTTTGAGAATACATTTAACATCTTAGAATTTATGTCCCTTGATTTTTTTTCCCAGTGGTCGAATAAAAGTCTTACCTGCTTCTACATGTGCATTGTCTGAAATGCATGGAAGTCTAAAGATCCATCATGCTTCATCTGCAGCTTCTGACAGATATATCACTCTAGGATGCCATAGTTTTTCTCTCCAAAAATCATTTGCTTTTTGATCATGGGGTGTTTTGCCAGAGATTTTCTGCACCTCACCACTAGAGCCTTGTTATAATCACTTTAATGGCTGATAGTTAGCCAGCATGTTATCCTTTGTGGTCTTTGCCTTGTTCCAGCCAATACAATCAAAGAGAGTCACATGGGCCTTGTACAATACAGTGGCAACTTTATTAGACCACTAAACAAATCAAACAATCTGATAGCTTTTGTGCATCAAAGCCCACATTCTCAGATATGCATTGGTGTCTTGTCAGTAGTGCAGAGAAATTAAGAGTCCCAGAAGTTCATGACAGATTATTGTCCTAGGCTTGTTTCTTAGAGGTAAGTTTTTAAAAGCACAGTCTGCATTAGTGGTGTGGTTTTCAAAAAAGTAGCTGTTGATTGGATATCACACCCTAATTCTTCCAACAAAGAAACCCAGGTATTATGCATATGCCCTCCCACATGGATATGCCTGTACTCCAATGTGTCTGCACTTTTTCTAATGTACTTTAGGGACTCAGTTTCTCTCCACTGTTGACAAGATACTGGTGCTTGCATGAGGGAGGAGACTGAATTCTTAGTGGTTAAAAAGATATCGCCTATTTTTGCGTTGTATTGTTCCACCCAGATTTTCACTCTTTAGACTAGTAGTTCTCAACTTTTCATCTGTTAAACATTTTTAGTTCGCATAATCTCTGACCATTTGATGTACTAGCTGTGGTTTCTGGGAAAATCCAAAACATTTAAAAGATCAGACTGAGAATTTCTTATCAGTGAAAGAAAAAGGGCAAATAATGCACAGAACCATGCTGTGTAGAGGAAGATTTGGCATCCAGTGGTGCCACCTAAGTTACAATGTATGGCAAGGACCTGCATGATACTTGAATGAGAGTTCATTTTAGCCAGTTTTGTCATCAACCCCAACATCTGCACACTCAGCACAGGTGTTTCTCTTCAGATTTATGTACTCAATGTGAAAATGTTAGATAGGGCTTAGTCAGCATTGCAAGATCAGGAGTGGATAAGAAATGTAGTCCCATTACTTTTCTCTGTGCCTGGGTTCTATGAGTATAGTGCATAGGTGAGGTGGTGGCATTCTGACATGCCTGGCACATTGGTAGATAAGAGTTCGAAGGAAAGTAAAAGAGTACCTTGTTTTAAGGCAAATTTCTGTTCCCGTGGGCTCCCAAGAGGATAAATGGTCATTTTGGTCAAAAAAAAGTTAAACATATGTTTTGGTGAAGAACTTCAGTTGGGTAGGAAGGGCACTCAGACACACACAGAAAACAAAATTCTGTGACCCATAACAGCCCCCCAGAGAATTTCTACCTCTGCAGCAGGGTCACTTTGAGTAAACGGTCAAAGGAGAGGCTGCTTTTCCCTTTCCCTGGTAAAATAATCCTCTCCACATTGATGCATTTCTGTCTGGAGAGGAAAGTACCTTACATAAAGGGATGTGATTTTGAGTGGGAATGCAGTCAGTGGGAGCATGATTGAGCAGTCTCTTTCATTTTTATAAGTGAAAAACGTGTACGATTTTGGCATGTTAATCTCTAGCATACTTTTGTTGACATAATCAAAATATCTTTCAATTGTGATGGCTGTGCCCTTGCTTTCTGTTGAGGCTTTTATAATTCAGGGAACTCAGTTGGAACTCATGGTGTCTTCTTTTTAGAAAAAATTTTGTTTCTTATTATTACATTGTTTTCTGTAAGTATTTTTTGTGTGCATTTTTCGTCCGTTGTGGTTGCAAGAGCTGTACAACGATGACTTTATGTACCAAGGCAAACTAACTCTATCTGTTTCTAATTGGCTTCTCAAAGGTTCCTGAAGACCCAGTGAAGAAACGTGTGAGGGAACTCAAGCAGTTCACTCAACAGTTGCAGCGGGTTCATCCTAATGTGTTGGCCAAAGCACTCAAACAAGGAATCGTCTTCCAGAATACAGAGATTGTGGTGATTAACAAACCTTATGGCCTCCCTGTTCATGGTGAGAGAAATAAAATGTCTGTTTTTTCTAAACCTTAACCTGAAATCATTTTAGTCGGCTTCTACTAAAGGATCCTGTTAATGACCCAAATTACTCTTTTATTAAATGTTCATTGTACCTGCAGAGCTGAGATCTGCTGATATTCAGTGGCAGTATATCTCTGATCATCAGATACAGCCATGTGGTTTACTCCCTCTTGCTTTGCTTATAGGCTTCCCAGAATGCTTGATCACGTGGTTGTATAGTCTGATCCAGCATAATAAATTTCAGGGTATATTTATGACCATGCAAGTTAAAAATATTTACGTTCAGAGATTCCGTTCTGTGTTGTATGTGCTACATAGACTAGTCTTTAAAATAAAGTGTCTGTGTGCGCGTGTATGCTTTTTATCTGCGTGCTTCCTTATTATTAATCTTCATGTGGAAAGATAGACATTGCAGCAGCAGCAGCAGCAGCCCTAAGGACAATTTATTGGATGTGCACAAATGAATGAGGGTCATTATATGATCTGTAAATGAGTTCTGTTTATTCAGTGGGTCAACTTTATTTGGGATTAACTCTGGGATTTAACCCACAGTATGCTACACCAAAAGACTGGTGTTATTATTCCCCCATATTTCCTTTTCTGCTTGGCAAGAGACTTTAAAAAGAACATGTTTTTTTAGTTTCTTCAGCTATGACTGCTATCTCAGCAAGCTGTCTTGATCACCTGTGGCCTGCAGCAAGACTGCTTTTCACAGTTATCCGGGCTGGTGCCTAATCACACAACATACAATATCATAATTACACAATCATTGCAATAAAGATGTACGTTTCTTAGGTAGGTAAGGAATATATGCAAAAAGGGATACAGCAGGAACATTTTCCTTTCTGGTTTGTAGTGTGTGTGTTTAGTCGTTTAGTCGTGTCCGACTCTTCGTGACCCCATGGACCAGAGCACGCCAGGCCCTCCTGTCTTCTACTGCCTCCCGGAGTTGTGTCAGGTTCATGTTGGTTGCTTCGCAGACACTGTCCAGCCATCTCATCCTCGGTCGTCCCCTTCTCCTCTTGCCGTCACACCTTCCTAACATCAGGGTTTTTTCCAAGGACTCTTTTCTTCTCATGAGTTGGCCAAAGTACTGGAGCCTCAGCTTCAGGATCTGTCCTTCCAGTGAGCACTCAGGGTTGATTTCCTTTAGAACTGATAGGTTTGTTCTCCTTGCAGTCCAGGGGATTCTCAAGAGCCTCCTCCAGCGCCACAATTCAAAGGCATCAATTCTTCGGCGGTCTGCTTTCTTTATGGTTTGTAGTAGTTCAAGCTTTTCATAGCTCTAGGAGTGTAGCTGCTCAGCAGGAGATCTCTTTGAAAGGTCAAGACTGTTTCTGCTTTCCTCGCAGGTGGTCCGAAGGTAAAGATGTGCATCACAGATGTTCTGCCTATACTGGCAAAGATGCTGTTTGGCATGAAAGCTGAACCTCTTCACCTGTGTCATCGGCTGGACAAAGAAACAACTGGAGTGATGGTACTGGCACGAAATGAGGAGGTGGCACATCAGATCCATGAATTTTTCAGAACCCGAAAAGTGGAGAAGAAATACTGGTATGAGATAACTACTGGCATTCAGTTGTTTTATTTTATTACCACTTCCTGAGAAGCTTGGACTTCCTATAAGCACAGGTTGAAGAACCAGGATGGCTTTTTAGGACTCTCATTCCTAGAATTCACCCAGAAAACTCACCCCCTCCCCTGGCAGAATTCTTGGGAGTGAGAGCCCCGAAAATGAGCTGTAAAGCAGCCCTTCTTACCTTCATGCTCTTCCCAGGTCACTTTTGCTTTGAAAAGCAAGTTCACAAGTTTGCTGTGGGAATCCCAAGGCTTTCTGGGATGCCCAAAGGTTCATGGGAGTTGTGATTTTGTTAAGGGTGCCCTCCATACAGCCTAGTGTGTAATGTAATGTTCGTCGTTTGCAACTTTAATTATTGTAAGCTGCCTTGAGTCCTTTTTGAGGAGGAAGGGAAGACAGGGTAAAAATATTTTAAATAAATAATGAGCATTGGAAAAATCCCATCTATAGTAGCTTTCTAGAAGCTCTCTCTCTCTCTCTCTCTCTCTCTCTCTCTCTCTCTCTCTCAATCTCTTGCTGTATACATTTAACTATGCTGCAGAAGCAGCTGGGAGATCACTTTTTTACAAGGATGATTATGTTGTTGCATGTCAAGTTGCCTCCAGCGTCCTGTGACCCTGGGAATAATCTCCAGAATGTTCTGTCCTCAGCAGCCCTGCTCAGCTCTTTTAAACTCAAGCCTGTGATTTCCTTTGTCAAATCAATCCATCTCGTATTTGGTCTTCCTTTTTTTCCTGCTTCCTTCAATCTTTTCCAGCGTTACTGTCTTTTCTTGTACATCTTGCTTTTTCATGGTGTGTCCAAAGTGTAGCAGCCTCAGTTTCATCGTTTTTGCCTCCAGATATAGGTCAGGCTTGATTTGGACCCCCTTATTTCTCTTTCTGGCAAGGAGTAGAGAAATGAAGGGCTGCACTGTTCATCACTGTTGTCTTGACAGGGCAATCTGCGTTGGACAACCAGAACCAGCAGAGGGGATAGTGGACATTCCAATTGTGGAGAAGGAAGTAGAGAGGGGCCAGTTACACTTTAAAGTAAGTTTACTTCCATCCAGTACCATTTTGCCTGCTCCAGATACTCTATCCCACAAGAGAATATCCTGATGTTTTCTGCTGTATCAATAAAGTGAGTTTGTTAAACTTAGCACCCAGGAAATCCAATACAATATATAACTAAAAGGATTTCACAGATTCAAAAACCTTGAATAAAAGGTTACATTAAGCTCTGTCAGTTTATGGACAGTATTTCACCACACTTGTTATAGTATGATTGTGCTCAAAATGGACTGGCATCAGCATCACATAAGGATACCTGTATCAAAGTCTTCTGTTTTCCTTTTGTATTGGCTTTGATGCCTGAAGCCAGCACGTTTGTGCTGTTGTTTTAACAAGCCTCACCGACATTAATGAAATGGCGGAGGCAGTACAGCGAAGCTTGGGCAAGGGCTTGTTTAGACTGGCCTGATTTCTTCTGCCTGCTGAGAAAAATGCAGTCCTCAATTGTATGTTGTCTATTCGCTTCCTTCACTTTTGTGTTATTTGTGCACCTGTATGCTGTGATACATCTTGTTGTTTCTCTTTGACTCAGATGACCCTTGCTCCCAAGTATCACCTTTCCTTTCAAGATGGAAAGATGTCCAGAGTCCCCCAGGACAGAGACTCCCAGATGGCAGTGACCCGATACCGTACACTCAGCAACTTGGCCTCTGGAACCCTCATCGAACTGCAACCCATCACAGGTAAGACAATACATAAAACGGTTCCTGGGTGCCTCTCGTTGTGCTCTTTAACTTCTGCAGTATTTATGTCAGTAATGAACACTGTGACAAGATTAAGAAACAGGAAAATGAAATCCATCTCATGGACGTTTCTATCTGCCTGGATGACAGCTAGTTGGTATCTTTTCCCCCTATTTTCCATTCCTGTGCCTCCCATCTCTGTGTTATTTCAAAGAAGAATTGAGATCAAGAAGACTTCAGAGAGGAGCATAACACTTCTATATCTTTTGTGTATGTCTTTTGTATATTAAAGTGACCAACTTGTTCTATCTGTGAGTAAGGGAGCTGCTCATCATAGGGAGGGTATGCAGATTTTGAAAATGGTTGGGAAATATATATGAATGACCAAAGAGGATTAAGAGTAATTAAGTAATGGTCACCCCAGGTGTCAATGAGGGATTCATCTGTATAAAGGGGAGGTTACAATTTGAACCCTCTGAGACATAGCACAGCTTGAAGAAGCAGTGCTTTCCAGGTTGCAGTGCTTCTCATGACTAGACCTCTGCACGCTGAGTAAGAACTGGTGTTGGGGGAACACGGAAAGTGTCCCTCAGTTTCACTCCATCACTCTATTTAGGTATGAGATAGGCCGAAGTTTATTAATTTTTGATGTGTATTTTTTGATGTTTTGTATCCTGTATTTACTGTTCCTTGGAGCTGGAACTGTTTTCCTAATTTTTGAATTATCCTTCTATTTTCCTACTTTTCCTAGTTTTTAAAAATAATCTTTTGAAATCCTTTCATGCTGGTGTTTGGATGGTGCCAGAGAGGAGAAGTGTAGTATTACCTTGATTAAGCTAACGGATTGGTAATACAGTGGTGCCCCGCATAGCGATGTTAATCCGTTCCGGATTAATCGTCGCTATGCATAAACATCGCTAAACGGATCAAAAAACCCCTTAGGAACGCATTAAACTTCTATGGGGCCCCAAACTCACCATTCAGCGAAGTTCCTCCATAGCGCTGCCATTTTTGCGCCCTCGGTAAGCGAGGGCAGGGCGCGAAAATGGTTGCAGTGGCCATTTGGGGCGTCCGGCGACCATTTTGGAACCGCCGATCAGCTGTTTAAAAAAACATCCCAATGTGATGTTTTGCCATTGAAAACATCGCAATGCGATCGCATTAGCGATCTGAAAAAACAGATTGCTATGCGGATTCGTCGTTAAACGTTGCGCTCGTTAAGCGAAGCACCACTGTATTGAGATCAGTTGTTGCTGTTGGCAGCCTATAGTATAGACATTCTAAGTGTTGGACCCCTGGATCATGCAACCCTTGCAAGCAGAAGACCTGTTGGGATTGGAAGGATCCCAGCCAGCACTCATAGCATTTTTTCCTCCTGCTTCTTCTGGTACTCCCACACAGAGCATGGGAGAGGTCGCTCTATCAAAGAGCCAGGGTCCAGGGATCATGGCAAATACGAAAACCTTAACTGAGAATTGTGAAACCTGGTGGGGTTTTCTCAGCTGATACATTTGCTCTGCATTCTGGACTGATGAACGTAGATGAAATTTGGTGAACATATATCTATTTATCTGAAAATTCTCAGTCCTCCAGGTGTGGTTATCTGGAAGTTGAGTCATGGCAACTGGGCTTCTTTCTTGTTAGGTGGAAATGTTTCGCTACGTGGATTAGTACTTGGCTGAGTAGAGAAATGACTTCTAACAAGAAAGAAGTCAAGTTGCCATCACTCAGCTTCCAGATACATGTATTTATATCACGCCTTGCCTATGGTGAGCTCCCAATGATGTACATAGCTCTCTTTCCTTTCCCTGCTTTATCTTCAGAACAGTCCTGTGAAATCAGACTGAGAGTGTGTGCCTGGCCCAGAGTTAGCCAAGAAGTTTCATGGCCTGTGGGAATTTGAGCCTGAGTATAAACCTAGCATTCTACCCACTATACCACAGTAGCTTATCTTCCGGCAGGGCTTGCAGTAACGTTTTCCTTTTCCCTGTTGCTGCTTGTTTTACTGTGCTAGAGTTGGTATCTAGTGAATCAAGATTCACGTGTTTACCCAACAGATCATCTGTTTTGTTACGAACCTGTCCGGCTCATAGAGTCTTTCTGATCTTCAAGAGTGACCCTTTAAAAATGTCAGCAATTTCTGAGGCCTGTGAAAAACAAATAGGAGAAAACTTTCTCTTGTGTGGCTCCCAGCCTGTGGAATTCACTTCCTTCCAAGTGACTGACTTTTATGAAGGGAGTAAAAACACTTCTTTTTAGAATGGTGTGTAATGTTTAACCTGCCACAGAGTATTGTTTTAACAGTGTCCTTTGTTAGTTGTGTTTGCTTTTAATCTACTTGCTTGATTTTAATACTTTTACAATAGGGTATTTATGTTTTTTTAAATTTTTAGCTACATGTGATTTTATCTGGTCTTATTCTTTTAAGAAGTTTCTAAGTCACTGTAAGTGCTGTCTTTTAGCGGCAACGCAGGGTATAAACATGATAAATAAGTAAATATAGGCAAGCTGCATTATGGTATCATTTTGGCCAGGGAATTACTAAGAATATGCAAATAGATATACTTGTTTTGCTTGGTATGACTGTATTTGTTTTCCATTCATGCTTGGCCTTTCCCTGTTATTTAGGAGTGAAGCATCAACTCAGAGTTCATTTGGCCTATGGCTTGGGCTGCCCGATTCTTGGGGACCACAAGTACTCTCACTGGAACAAGCTAGCACCACAGGTAAGAGGGGGGGGGTCTAGTGGAATGAATGGGTGAGTGTGGTGTGGACCTTCAGTGAAAGAATAGGTGCTTTTTGTGTCCCGTCTTTCAGTGCAGGCCATGCATGCTTGAAGTTAGGATTGGCATGCCTTTCATTGATCCATGATTAGGTGCTAATCATGGATCAGTGACCGGTATCCATGATACCGTTGCTAATCGAAGAATTTCCCACCTAGCTGATCAGCAGAATGTGCTTTGAGAGTGGACCATTTTCTCTTAACCTCCATGCACTAGAATTATAAAGCAAACAAGCCTTGTCTTGCTGGGGATTTTCCACAAAATCCTAAAGTGTTGTGGGGTTACAAAAAGTCCCATGTCCAACGTATGTTTGTGTGTCCAGAATCAAGTGTGGTCTGCCCAAAAACCGGGAGCCAAAAAGTGGAATAAAACTGGTTTAATATTGTATTGTGGGTTAGTTCCAGTAATCACTCCAGTGGAAGAAATCCTGATTTCCCCTGAAAATGACTGCCTGGCTGATATTGGGAGCATATCGCTTGTGCTTCACTGCACCCAATGGCTGGCTGAAGAATGGCATAGCCCACCTTTTGTTCCGATATGTGGGAGCAAATAATACTCCAGGGGCAAAAAGCATTTTATTAGTTGGGACAGTTGTTTTCCAACTGCTTTTTGTTTGATTGGGTTTTGGGGGACATACATGGCATTGTTTACATCCGTACAGGTGACAATGGAGCATCTATCCTGTATATCTTTTTCTATGTGTGTTGTATTACAAAACATGACTGGAGAAATTTTTATTTATATAAAATAACCCTGGCCTTGCTTGTGATAGTTAATGGTAATGGTTAGTTTGCTTTAGGTTTTTATAAATGTGAGCTGAACTTGCAGTTGGCTGTTGCTACCTAATAAGTCACTTTTCTGATGGTCCTTTTCAGAAACTTCCTCCCGGTGCATTAAAAAAATTGGGTTTGGTACAAGCTAAAGCCCGTCATCTCCCACTCCATCTACACGCCTACAAACTCAGCCTCCCTGAGTTAAATGGCAGCGAAGAGAAGAAAATCAACTTGGTCTGCAAGCCTCCACATTTCTTCAATCTGTCCCTAAAGCGTCTGAATCTGGAGATACCCAAGTTAGAAGGAGAACTGTGAACAGAGACACTGCTTCCTTGGTTGAGGAAGCTGTTTTCCCTTGACTTTGGTCCCTGTGGTGACCAGGCATGAAATCGAGAGACCCACTTCCCCTAGAATCCAGCAGCCCTCTCTCTGAAGAATCTTTGGGCCTCCGGCAGCTCAAAGCGCAGGACTAGGGAGTGGTGGCGCGGCTTGTTTCTAGGATCTGAAAATAAAGGAGACGGTTGAGAGATTCAGCAAGCCGTGCGGGATAGTGGCATGCTGTGGGTTCGGAAGGGAGGCATCTGAAACTGAACCCAAAATATATTTACTCAGTTTAAATGCATAACCTATTTTTAAAGGGTGGATGCAACCTAAAGAGAGCAGGTTTTTAGTTTGGGGTTTTTAAGATACAATGCTTCACCAAATATGGCATTTGTTCTTACAATTGTTGCTATTTTTCATTCTCTTTCTAACAGAAATTCTGGGGTTTGTGTCCTAAAGCAACCTTGGTCTCATTGTGCCCTAGTCTATGAACCATCCCCTCCTGTCACTTCTCTCTGTGCCGCAGTTGCCACTTCTGATGCTCCCTGTGTTGAGATTGGTTAGTAAGGAAGCTTCCCACTACAGTACCTCCTTTTCCTGTCTTGTTTTTTTTTCTCTGCTCCACCATGCACTGCCCATTTCTGGTTTCCCTGCTCCCCACCTTGCTGCCTCCCACTTGGCACCTCCTCACTTTTAAACTTTTGGGGGGTCTTCTGGGGAGTGCCACAGCACCGCATGAACCCTTGCCACCAGCTATAGCGTAGACGCGCTGGGTCTTTTTAAAGAGAGAGGTGCTTTTTGGCCTGGAGGAACTGGGGCCACAAAGGGGGGGGGGAACAGTAGAGGGAGGAGGAAAAGATCCACACATCTACTCAGACCCTCTACTTCATTTCAGTATAAGGCATGATGATGTTTGTAAAGCAGAGGAAAAAAAAACCCACAGACTTTCAGGGAGCAATTAAGTGAGTTTCATGGAACAAATGTCATATCTGGATGAAACCACAGTTAAAGAGTTCCATGTAGTGAGGTCTGCTATGCACTCAACATTCGTTGTTGCATACCATCAAGTCACTTCTGTTTTATGGCGACCTTATGAACGAGTGATCTTCAAGATGCCCTTGTCCTCAACAGCCCTGCTCAGTTTTTGTAAACTCAAACCTATGGTGGCTTTTATGGAATCAACCCATCTCGTATTTGGTCTTCCCTTTTTCCTGCTGCCTTCATCTTTTCCTGACATCGTATTTTCTAGAGAATCTTTCCTTCTCAACATATGCTCAAAGTACGACAGTCTCACCTTCGTAGTTTTTGCCACCAGAGATAGTTCAGGCTTGATTTCCTCTAGAACCCACATGCCTTTCTGGGAGCCCAGGGTATCCAGAAGGCTCTCCTCCAGCACCATATTTCAAATGAATCATTTCCCCGCCCCCCTTTCTTCACTGTCCAGCTTTCATGCTTACACATGGTGATCGGGAATTCAATAGTGTGGATCTTGGTCTTAAGTGACACATCCCTACACGTGAGGATCTTCTCTGTTGCCATGATTGCTGCCTTTCTGAGTCTCAGTTGTTCTGATTTCTTGGCTGCAATCTCTGTTTGGACCGATGATTGAACCAAGATGTACAAAATCTAACAATTCAAATTTCTTCATTGTCAACATTAAAGTTGTGTAGTTCTGTCATCATGACTTTTGATCTACATAATGGTCAAGTGCAATCCTGTTTTGACACTTCCTTGTTTCACTTTCATTAGAAGTAATTTCAAGTCTGCCAGTAAGATGGTGTCATATATCTTAAGTAACTGATGTCCTTTATGTGAGTCTAGTCCAGCTTTCTGTATATGTTCTGCATACAGATTGAACAGATGAGATAAAATGCACCCTTGTCTCACCTTTGCCTGGAGGTAAGAAATGTTCGGTGCTGGTTTACCATTGCTGCCTTCTGCGCAGTACTAACAAAAGTTAACTTGAGTGACACTGCTGTTGTCTGTGAAAGACCCTACACCAGTTTCACCTTCAGGTACTGCTACTGCCCAGTAGCCGCCACCCCCATCACCATTGGACCAATCTGTTCTCTTCTGCTGATTTGGCTGATCCTCCTGAAGAGGGTGGAAGCATCTTAGTCTGGTCCCTCAACTGTGAACATTTTGCCTTGGGTGACTCTGCTAAGAGTGCAGGCTCATAATGGAGGCTAGCCATTGCTTTCAGCTGCTCTGATATAGTCAGACTCCCTCACCACATTAAGGTGTGCATTCAAGAAAGGACTCACCAGTGAATGCTGTCCTTCAACTTCAGCAGCATCTGCACCCCTCAAAATCTGTAGGGGTAGCATATCCAGCTATGTATATATTGTTCTATAATATTGGGAACAGAATTCGGCACCCTAAAATTCTTATCTTAAGGTCATGAGGTATACTTGTGCCTAGATTTTTCCTCTGTCCAGAACAAAGCATGGATTGGGGGATGATGGGGATCTATTAGTTAGGCTAATAGAGGATCCAGAATTGTGCCGGAAATATAAAGCTGTGTCTCATCCCATTCGGAAACCGGAGGAAGACGATAAAATTATAAGATTTTCAGTGTAGTTATCGTAGTGCACTTCAGGAATGTATCTGGGAGAAAATGTGTATTCTTGTAGCCAGGATGCTTCATGCTCATCACCAGAAACCAATTATTCAAATGGCTGAGCTTTGCATCTGGCAGTGTCTGTGGCTGCTGGTCATTGCTCATGCGCACCACTGAGCTCTCAACATCTGGAGGGCCCCCATGGTCTCTCACCATGCTTTTGAAGCAGTGTGCTTGAAGGAGGCTGCTTTCAAATATACTTTTTTTCTGTGTGCCCTTGAAATCAATCTCGGCTCTCAAACATCTGCATTTCATGTACTTGTTTAGAGCTAGTTCTGTGGATTTCTTGGAACTCCGCAAACGTGTGTTTCAAATGCAATGCATTCACCACAGAGCTAAAAATAATGTTCTAAATGCAGGTGTCTTGAATGGGCTCCTCGCCTTCCCTTCTCTGAAAACAAGAGCTCAGCCCAAGAGCATGGCCAGCCATCCCTTGAGCCCACCTCAGCTTGCTCCTAGATGTGAAACCAAACCCACAGTTCTGCAGAGAGTTGCTAGAAATAACATCTGTTTATGAAAGAGGGATGAAAAACCACAAAGGCCCAGCCTTGCCTCGCGATGCCTGTGGCAGGCTTCGGGACGTGGTCTTCTTAACTATCACAAGATGCTGTTCTCCAGGTTTCTCTATTTCTGGGCTCCCCTGTAATTATCATTTCGCTTACCAAACAGCCAAGGCTCTTCTTGACAGCTCCCTGGTGCTTCTTTCTGGACAAAGAGAGGGAGTTTTTTTGAGCTTGACAGGCGCAACTCAAAAGCCACCGGCCACTTTAGATGCTGCTCGAGAGCTGACAAGCAGGAGCGGCAGCTACCTCTCCTTTGCTCGCCCGTGGTTCGGCTCCCCCCCCAAAAGGAACCATGTCGATCGCCCACACAGCGGGCGAGTATATGCTTTCGGATGCCTTGCTTCCCGATCCCAACGGCTCCAGGGCAAAGGGCCTCCGCTTGGAGTTATCCTGTGATCGCATTGTGAAGTTTGTCACGGTGGGACTGCCTCTGTTTTTCGTATCCCTGGTATTTGCACGAGAGTTTTCCGCTGGTATGTTTCATCCTTTTCTGGTGCCATGGGCCTCCAGCATTTATTTCTGCACTACTTCATCCTTCCTTGGTTGATTTCTAGTTAAGTTTCTAGATGCTATCCTAGTTTCCATGGATTGGATCTAGACTGAGAAAGTTGGACTTGAGTCCAGTTAAAATCAATGGGTTTGATCCAGGCTTATTTGCGCTTAGATTAGCTTTCACTGGAAAGCAGGACTGATGTAGAATAGCGTTGCTGTATTGGATTGAGAGTCAGGAGATCTAAATTATAATCCATGCTGAACCATGGGACTAATTAACTTTGGACCAGACAGTCACTCTTTGTGTACCCTTGCCTCACAAGATCTTTATTTTGAGGATAAAATGATGAAGAGGAGGACTCTGTTGATATGGGAAGCAGTGATCCATAGGGTCCCTTCCAGCCCTTCAGTTCTTAAGATTAAGATGATGATGATTTGTCAAATATTCATGAGATCAATTCTACTTGTACATGAGTTGCCTTGACATCTGAATGCAGTATTTACTGTTGGCAAGATTGTGTTATTAACCTACTGTGTGGTTTCTTATTCAGTGCCTGCCAAAATGATGAATAGGCTTCAATATACTAAATGTTGCTGTCCTTAACACCTCTTTGCCGGGGAATCGGACCCTTTGGACTTAGGGGAACTTAGCAGACACAGGGGAGGCTGTGCTGTGAAGTGCTCAAATGTAAATGCTGATATAAAAAACGCCATGTCCTAAACATTCAGTTCAGTTTTGAATTGTGTTACATACTCAATTTTGGGTAATGCAACTGAGAGGTTCTCCAAAGTAGTTTTGTCTCGAAACAGTTGTACATATCTTCATGCCATACTTTCCTTGGGCCTGTTTCCTCTTTCAAATATTTATAGCCAATGAAATGTAATGAAAAGGGTTGACTCTGAAATTAACCTCAATGGCACATTACAGGTTTTTGCATACAAAATCTGCTGTATAGAAAGCTCGCTTTGATTCTTCACATGTATTTGGTCAGGTTCTTTGTGAATCAACATGCAAAGCTTTCAGCTATGTGTGATTCTCCAGCTGGAATCCAAAGGGGTTCTTAGTACTTAGTTTTCATTGGATGGTGTCCTTTCATTAGCGAACATATATATTCGAACCTACATGTTTCTGTCAACACAGAACACATGGCTGTCAACACGGATGTGAAGATCACAATAATCACTGTCTCTTAGCCTAACATACTTCACAAGGTTGTTGTAAAGGTATGGGTTTGGTGCAAGAAAGAAATATGCGTGCCACATCACCTTGAATGTAAGAGTGTACCTATATTCCTTGTTAGTTACGCCTGCAAGCAAATGTAAATGGTGTAAGTTTTGAGTTTCTGCATCTTAAGTCAGTTTAGTTATCATCTGTGATGCACTGAGTTGCACAACTCAGCATAAAAGTCTACACCAACTTCTTAATTTGTATCTGTCAATTAACCATCCATAGTTATGATGTTTGTGTTACTTTGGTATAAAATGACAATACGATTTTGGCCCTTGAATTCTGTGGAGCTGTTTAGGAGTGGTAATCCAAGGTGGTACAGCTACATACAGTACATTGGCCTGAAAACAAGTATCCAGAAAAAGTGTGTGTGTTACGTGTCCTCCAGTCAGTTCCAACTTATGATATCCCTAGTAAGGGTTTCTGAGGTTTACGAGGTATTTAAGGAGTGGTTTTGCCACTGCCACACACAGAGCGAGTCCGATGACTTTTCATGGTGGTTGAAGTGACTTTTCATGGGGATTTGACCTCAAGTGTCCTGGGTTCTGGTCCAACACCCTGTCCCCTACACACTACACTGGCTCTTTTACCTTAAAAGAAGTCAGTCTTCCTTCTGAGTAGACAGGGATAGGCTTGCTCTCAGGAGAGGACACAAGTGCCTAGAAGTAAGAGAAGCGACAGCATCTCTTTCAATATCCGCAGTATCAATTCCAAACCCTTAGCGGCTGTGGATGGTGACTGGAAACACGGCAGCTTGGACAGAGCCTTCCTTAAGTCTGAAAGCTAATTCAGCTGAGCTTGCCTCAGGAATTTTTACTTCTGGAACAAGAAGGCCACGGTGAGGTTGGGTGAATCCAGAGGGAATAAGCAAAACATTTCCCCCTCTGGCTTGTCCTGAATCATAAAGTAGTCTTCGGGATTTCTGAACATTTGCAGCACACAACCAAAATAGGTGTTTATTGGTACCTGTATTTAGATCGCACCCACAGTTGTGTGTGCTATTTTTCTTCACTAGTTTTGGGTAGCCTGTTTGGGTGGGATGGAAGGCTTTCCAAGGAGATGGTGGAAGGCCAGCGTGAGATTCTGAAGTAGACCATGCTGTCCTCTTCCCCTTGCCAAGGTTTGTGTGGATTGTAGGTCACCCGGCGAAACAGTGAGTTCTTCACTGGGTTTGTAGAGAGTACTGCCTTTCAGAACTGGCTCTACTATCAGACAGAATACAATTGCAGCTGCAGGCAGGCAGAAGCTGCGTTGTAAAGCTGGGCCACTGTTTGCTTGTCCTGACTCTCTTTAAACTGCCTCGATGCCTTAGGTATAGTGAAGGGTGTTACGGGAGTTGCGGTATATTTTAACTGCCTTCCCACTAAGCTACTGTAAATGGAAAGGCAGGGGATGAGGGCTCTTGTTCTCTTTTCTCAGGCACCAAAGTCTCAGCGTGATCTGGGAAAAAGTCAGCTAGAAACCAATTGTGGTGGTGTTCTGGCATGCAGCTCTTAAGTGAGGAGCATGGCAGGCGGTTCTGATGGGTTTCCCACCTTACTCCACCAATCCTCCATGTAGCAGCGGGCAGCATGACCCCTGTGGCTATGGGCAGAACATAACACCTGCCACGGTATAGTAGAAGGTAGCAAATATTTCAAGCCATGAGTTTTGCAAATAGACATACCATGCAATCCTGTGCCTGTTTACTCAGAAGTAAGCCCAATTGTACGCAGTAGGTCTTCCTAGGAAGCTATGTGGAGAACTGCAGCTTGGGGACCGTGATTTTCAGTCTTGCATGTCTTCCATCTCTCCAATCACTACATCAAGGTATCTGAGCCTTATAATAGGTAAAGGTAAAGGTTCCCCTTGACAATTTTTGTCCAGTCGTGTTCGACTCTAGGGGGCGGTGCTCATCCCCGTTTCCAAGCCATAGAGCCAGCGTTTTGTCCGAAGACAATCTTCCGTGGTCACGTGGCCAGCGCGACTTGACACAGAATGCCATTACCTTCCCACCAAGGTGGTCCCTATTGATCTACTCGCATTTGCATGTTTTCGAACCGCTAGGTTGGCAGGAGCTGGGACAAGTGATGGGCGCTCACTCCGTCGCGTGGATGCGATCTTATGACTGCTGGTCTTCTGACCCTGCAGCACAGGCTTCTGCGGTTTAGCCCGCAGCGCCACCACGTCACTTGAGCCTTATCATAATGGAAACTAAATAAACAGCACACACACACGCACACAATTTCAGAGAAGAGTGTATGCTGACAGATATTCTGTTGCTGTGTTTATCACCTATGTTTTATAGACATTAAAGATAGTACTGTCGGGAGTAAACAGACGTGTCCAAGGTTACTGGCAGGATAACAAATGACAGACAATCTGTTGCAGAATTTTGAATGTCTGGCAAATTTCCCTTTTGTTACGCAGTGCAAGTAAAGAGATCCCCAGAGTAGAATAGCTACAAGGTTCCCAGAATCCAACTTTTCTCATGAACTGGCACTTAAAGTCTCAGTAACTCACTCTGAGACATTTGTAGTCGAAGGGATAAAAATATTCCTTTACTTGCTATTACACTGCATTCTTTACTGCACATATACTAGCAACCAGTCGAACAGAACAACAGCAAACAACTGCTTCCAACTAAGGAAAGAGAGGGAAAAGAACATTCGACAGAGAAGCTAGGTTCTCTTTGAAATCAAAGGCTGGACAGAAAGATTGGTTAGGGCTGGACAGACAGACCATCATCCCAATCTAGAAAAGTCCTTCCCAGTCACACGAACTACAGATAGCATGCAAGGTTACAAATAAAGCTCCAGTACAATGAGGGGCAGTTTGGGTTGAGAGAAGACAACACATTGCATGTGCAGAGAGCTGCCTTGGGTCCCCTTATTGGGAGAAAGGCGGCCTATAAATAAAACAAACGAGATTAAAAAGCAGTGTATGCTTAGTTATTATGAAACCACTGCAATCCACCGAAATTAATCCCATGGTCCATCCATGGTAAGTGTACTGTTGGTTCAAAACACCTTGTTGAAACTTCATGTGTATGTGTGTTTCCTCTTCCATATCTGTCCACATCTTGTATACTAAAAAAAAGGTATACACCCCTGTGGGTGCTATCTCAAGACAGGTACTAATAATAACCACCTCTTTGGGTTCTGTAACTGCAGCAGTGTTGATTCCTGAAAATGTCAGAGGAATCAAGGAACCGCGTTAGCCTGTTACAGCAGAAACTACAACGGGCCTTGTGGCTTTTAAAAGACAGCCTATTTTACGTGACATAAATGTTTTAAGTGCTACAAAACTCCTTTGCGGTTCTTTAAGATGGTTAGGGTGGCGGTTGTTTTTTTTTTAATGGTTGAATTTAAGCTTAGGGAGCCTTAAACACACACATTGTTGGGCGTGTGGACAGCCGTGGGAAACAGGACCCTAACAAAAGCCAAATGATTTGAAGTCCGGGCCTTTCTGTCCACCCGCTGTTTGTGCATTTCAGCCTGAGGCCCAGAGACTTGCTTTAACTCCACGTGTAACTCCCTTGTCACAATCTAGTGCAAAACTGTGGCGCAGCAAGGAGAAAGTGCGATGGTAGCCATACAAGCAGGAGCAAAGAGAATTGAAGCCCAGACTATTCTGCAATTGGAGTTCCTTCAGTGTTGTTATGTAACATGTTTAAAAATGTTAAGAAGTTACAAAGCAATGGCATCAATTACAACGATCCTCGTATGTTTAATTGCTGCATTTATATCCTTCCTTTCTTCCATGGAAGGGACTCAAGGCAGCAAAAATCTCATTCTCCAATGCCTGTCCTTAAGTAGTCCACAGGACATCATCCAAGCATCATAAGGCAAGGCACAAAATCTGGAGGGGTGGTGGTGGAAATGAGATGAGTGGGTTTCATTATAGTGGAATGCTGACCCTCGGGATTGGAAAATCAGGTTGGTTTGGATCAGGGTGTCCTGGGAGGACCCTTCTGGCATGTTGGCTGAAACAGCAACACTTTGCACAGCAACATTTTGTTGTAGGTCCCAGCTTTATTACCCATGTAGTGTAGCGGGTGAAGTATTGGACTAGGACTCAGGAGATGCTTAGAGGGTTCAAATCCTCTCCAAACTATAAAATTCACTGGTCACAGATAGTCTAATCCAGGGGTTGTCAATCCCTAGTCTGTGGCCCCGTGCCGCTCCGTGGGCTTGCCGGAACTGGGCCGCGGATCTTCCCGCCCCCACGCACATGCGCAGGTGCACATGTTGGCACACTTGCACAGGGGTGTGTGTCATGCCTGTGTGCGAGTGCAACACGCCCCCACAGGCGTAACACCCCCTCTGCAGGCGCGACATGCCCACCATGCTCACGCAGGGGAGCCCTGCCCCCCACGCATGGAGCTCGCATCCCCCAACCAGTCCACACCCCCAAAACGTTTGGGGACTGCTCTAGTCTACTTAATCACTAGATTGTTGTGGGAAGGAGGAGAGCTACGTGCAGTGCTCAGTGGAGAAAAGGTGGGATGAATATGTACCAAATAAAATGAACTTCTGATGAAACCTAACATGAATGGGAGACCAAGTCTCATGATGTGGAAAAATTTGCTTTATTGGATTTTTAAAAAACCACAACTTGATGTATTTTAGCTAATTATACTTGTGGCTGCCTTTAGGGACAAAGGCCTTACAAGTGCCTGCATAGATCTGTTAATCGATTTCAAAATTTCCCCTCAGCCGATCCATGTGGAATGTGAAATGCAGATAGCTAGAGCAGGTACTCTCTATGCTGCAACCCTTTATTGCAGAGCCCATGTTTGTTAAAGGCAAAACTCCAGAGCATATTTGGTGCAGCTGCCATTTCTCTCCCTCTTCCTCCACCTCCCAGTCTCTCTCTCTTGGGCCACTCGAATAAAGAAAATCTCATTGGATTGGACGTCTGATGCCGCTCCATGGGATAATGAAGGAAAAGGGACTTCGTCCTAACTGGAGTTAAAAGGGTGGAGAGGACAGCCTAATCATGAATGGATGCCTTGGAGTTCCAAAGGCAGGGGCAGAGTCCCACTGAGAGCGGTCCCATGGGTCAACTACAAAGACCATTTGCCAGTCTATCCTGTGGCACTGCAGTGCTGAAGAACTCCAGTTTGCTACAGTAGATGGAACCGGTGGTGGCTTCCTTGCTAGCAGGAGCGGGCCTTGAGGCTAATGACTCCACTTCCTCTTTGCTCCCCATTCCAGGTTCCCAGATCAGCTGCTTCCCTCCCGGCAATTTCACAGGGAAGCAATCCGCCTACATGGACGCCGTGTGTTGGGACTCCTTGCTTCATCACGATGTTGACGCGGCAGGAAGTTCCAAATCCTTCTGGATCCTCAAGGTATGCGGTGTTTCGGAATTAGGAGATATATGCCTCTGTGTGTGTGTGTGAAATCCTAATGTGTATCCCGAAAGAAGACGAAACAGATCTTTTAAGTGCTTTGCAGAATATGAGAAGACAGATCTCTGGCTGAAAAGAGTTTGCCATCTAAAATTTGACAAAACAGTTAAGGAAAGAGAGTGGAAATGAAGCAGGGATAAAGAATTCTGATGAAACCTAAGATGAATAGGAGAACAAGTCCCATGATGTGGAAAAATGGGCTTTATTGGCTTAAAAAAAGACAACTTGATGTATTTTAGCTAATTATACTTGTGGCTGCCTTTAGGGACAAAGTGGGACGAGCTTATTTTAACTGCAGGGGCTTAAGCTGGTTGCACGCTTAGCTCAAGGAGGGTGGCCTTCCCTGATCAGGTATCTTCCTGATTTGTTGTGGCTGATGGGTGTTGTAGCTCAGCAGATCTCAAGGATGCAAGATTGTAGGAGGCTGCCAGAGACCGTGGGAACCAGGGACTTATTCCAAAGGGTTCATAGGAACTCAACTCAAAGAATTCTCCGATAATAATTGTGCTGGCTGTAAGCAATATCTGTACAAAAATATAACTTTTCACAGCGCTGTGGAAAAATGAGGGTCATAGGAGGAATTGGATGGGGGTGGAAAAGATGGCTTTGCTCAAATCTAGGAAACAGTTCCAAATGTCTGGATGGAATAAAAAGAGTAGCTGGATAATTCATCTACACCACGCCGTTATAGTAGTCCAATACCAATTCAGCTGCCATGGCTCCAGCCTGTGGAATCCTGGAATTTGTAGTTTGCTAGGGTACAGTAGGACTACGGTATCTACAGGATCAGTACCTGTGGTTTCACATACCCACTGCCTGATAATATTAAATTTAAAAAAACAAGAAATAAGCATTTTCAAGGTGTATTGCCAGAACTGGCCACTAGAGGGAACCAAAGACAGCCCTATATATAGCATTTGCATTCTCATGCATTTGGCATCTAAGGGTGGGGGCTGAAACCGCCCCCCCCCCCCGATACCTCCATCCTAGAATTTTTTTTTTAAAGGACAAATACAATGGGCCCATCATAAAAGAAAAAGGGAAGGGGAGGGAGGCCAAAGGGGAAGTGCGCCCATATTGGGGGTGGAGATCTCGGGGAGCACTTCTGGATGACCCAGTGTCACCGTATGTCCAGCAACCAAGACCCTCCACATGTGTGAGCGTCAATACCAGGATGACCTATTTAAACTATAACAGAAACTAGCAGAACAACCCAGACTAGCAAGGTAAAGGTAAAGGTTCCCCTTGACAATTTTTGTCCAGTCGTGTTCGACTCTAGGGGGCGGTGCTCATCCCCGTTTCCAAGCCATAGAGCCAGCGTTTTGTCCGAAGACAATCTTCCGTGGTCACATGGCCAGTGCGACTTAGACACGGAACGCTGTTACCTTCCCACCAAGGTGGTCCCTATTGATCTACTTGCATTTGCATGCTTTCGAACCGCTAGGTTGGCGGGAGCTGGGACAAGCGACGGGCGCTCACTCCGTCGCGTGGATTCGATCTTACGACTGCTTGGTCTTCTGACCCTGCAGCACAGGCTTCTGCGGTTTAGCACGCAGCGCCACCACGTCCCAAATCCCATTTGGCAAGCCCAAATCCATGGATCACGCCGCCAACACTGCACGGAAACTTGTACCGCCCTCCTGCCAAGACCAAATGTCTCGGAATGGTAGATGTCAAATAATATGTAAACACTGAAGATGAGCGAAAGCGCCTTCTTGTAAAGGGCGCCTGCCTTTGACGGAAACTGACAGGTACATTCTGTCCTGTAACATAACGCTGAAACATTCTGTCGCGCTCCCTGGCATGGCAGAGGAATAAACCAGATTCCCCCCCCCCCTTTTCAAGTTGTTTTTCTTCTTCTTTCAGGTGCAGGAGGATAGTGATCTTCAAATATCCATCAGGGGAAATCTGGGGTAAAGAGAGCTGGTCAGATCAGATGGGTGGCTCTTTGACATTTCAATTTTAGCTACCGTGTTTCCTGGAAAACAAGACAGGGCCTTATATTATTTTTTGCTCCAAAAATGCAGTAGGACCTGTTTTTAGGGGATGCTTTATTTTTTCTCTTATACAACAATCTACATTTATTCAAATACAGTCATCTTCTTCGGGTTGCTGCACAAGGGTGGAGGACAGGGTTTCACTTAACTGGAGCTTATTTTGGGGGGCAGGGGTTATATTACAAGCATCCTGAAAAATCATATTAGGGCTTATTTTCAGGTTAGGCCTTATTTTCAGGGAAACAGGATACAACTAATTCCGTACAAACAAACTAAAGACTACCCACACATAGATTCCCCCCCCCCTTTAAATAACATATCTCAGTTCCATGCAACAGCTTCCCGGGCTGCTGATTAGAGCTCTCCTCAAAAGAACAGATTTCAGAACTTGAAATGGCCTCTTTCTCTTGTCACTCAGAGATAGCAGCAGAAAAACTAAGGTACCAGATTGGGATGCTTTTCTGTATTTGTATACTTATTTTTTAGCTTTAAATATTTTCTTTAATGATGCCAGCGGCCTTGGGTCCTTTTTAAGGAGAAAGCTGGGGTAAAAATATTTCAAATACAAAAATAAAGTGAGGATTGAGATCTGAGTGAGAATTCACCCTGTCTCTACACTGAGAGCAGACCTCTGACGAAGGATCGGATCGGCATTTAGGTACCCGTCTTCAGCCATCTGCATTCAATGTGTGGATCCTGGCAACAGGGCTAGGTTAGCGGCTTTGCATTGGTAGTGGTAGACGTCAGTAGCACAGCCCATTCCAACCTCTCCATGTATGTGAAGGAGGTTAATGGTCTTGCTACAGAGCCGGTTCTAGCATTAGGCGGAACGAGAGAGCTACCTTGGGCATTTTACCAGTTCTATCCCCCTCGTGAGATTCTATGGCCAAGCAGGGATTTGAACTCAGGTCTCCTGGGTACTAGTTTGTCACTCTATCTATTGTACCACACCAGGTACAATCTATACCACATCTCAAGCTAGTTCTGCCTCATTTTTAAAATTCCAAGTCCCAGAATTCTCCAAGAATCCTCGAGGCAGAATTCTACGAATTCTGGCTACAGACACACATCTGTAGATACCTACATTTCATTCACTTGGAACAAGTGATATCTTCCCGTCTGTTTTAGGCCTCCTACTTATAAAAAAGGGGAACTGTCCCAATGCTTCCTGGGAGGTCTAGGTCTTTGTGGAAGGGGTAATCTTGCTGCCCGTTCGGCTGCACATAGGGTACATCTGAAGAACTACACCTCCCACAAAGACATAGGGTACATCTGAAGAATTGCACCTCCCACAAAGACATAGGGTACATCTGAAGAATTGCACCTCCCACAAAGACATAGGGTACATCTGAAGAACTGCACCTCCCACAAAGACATAGGGTACATCTGAACAACTGCACCTCCCACAAAGACATAGGGTACATCTGAAGAACTGCACCTCCCATGAAGACATAGGGTACATCTGAAGAACTGCGCCTCCCACAAAGACATAGGGTACATCTGAAGAACTGCACCTCCCACAACGACATAGACTTCCCAGGAAGCCCTTGGTTAATTTCCGTAAGGGGTCGCTCAGGAAAATTGCCATCAAAGTGCAATAGGCTTGTGTAGAGTTTCCCCTTCACGCCTCCTTCTCTCTCTCTCTCTCTCTCTAGATCTTCCCTTATTCCCTCTTGGTCATTGCAGTTGCCATGTATTTACCATACCTGCTCTGGAGATACGCTGGTGCCCCATCGCTGCGCTGTGACTTGTTCTTCATCATCGACGAACTCGACAAGTCTTACAACCGCTCCATCCGTCTGGTGCAGCACATGGTGAAACTTCAGCAGACTGGGACCGACCCAGAGGAACTGTGGGAGGAGTATGACAAGTACGCTCAAAGTGGAGGGTCAGGAGGACCGGCCGTCTAGTTCAGTGGTAGGGCAGACGCTTCATATGTAGAAGGCACTGGGTTCAATTCCAGGTGTCTCTAGGTAAAAGAATCAGAGTGTATCTAGTGATGGGAAATTCTATCTGTCCAAGGCCTTGGAGAGGGTCCACCATCTTGAGCTGAACCAATTTACCTTGGCCTGACACTCTCCGGATACGTTGGGTAGCCACTCCATCACCTCTAGCCAGATGGAGTCCATGGGAGTCATAGCCCAACATACTGGGAGGCTAGCAATTGGGAGGGCCTGGGCTTGACTTTACTAGTCAGGAGGTACCAATGTTCTGGCTTTTTGCAAGACAGGATTCCAACCGTTGTTGGGTCCATGTAGTCTTCTCCTGCAACTGCTGGACAGCCGGCCACTTTGGAAAGTGTTGCCTGGATTCAATCCATCACTTTTCTGGTACAGCTGCTTTCCATACGCAATATGCTCAAAGGGGTTCAAAACAAAGGAAGACCACAATAATATCTTCCAACCAGGGAGGGTTGGATCTAAAATGTCATAACAAATAAAGTATCAATGTATTCGCGAAGACTTTCATGGCTGGGATCTGATGGTTGTTGTGGGTTTTTCGGGCTCTTTGGCCGTGTTCTGAAGGTTGTTCGTCCTGACGTTTCGCCAGTGCTGTCCTCTGAAGATGCCGGCCACAGAGACTGGCGAAATGTTAGGAAAAACAACCTTCAGAACTCGGTCAGAGAGCCCGAAAAACCCACAACAATGAAATAAATTATCATTAGCAAAGCAATACTGTAGCATTATCTATCACAATAGCCAGTTAATAAAATATCAGTGAAAACAATCACAATTCTTACCGCCAGTTTAAACAAAGAAAAATGAAACAAAGGCTCACTGGCTGACATCCAGCAGTAAGCCACAAGTAGAGTAGGCCCACTGAATCAGTGAGGTTTTGGTGAGTCAGCACTTATATACATTCTACTGATTCAATGGGCCCACTCTAGTATGATTTCCTTTGGCTTCTAGCCACAGTTCGCCCTTGTAGTAGCGAGAGAACAGTGTCTAGAAGAATAAAAGCAGTGCAAAAATTTTAGAGGCCAGTTGCTTATTCTGGAGGGTGGGAGTGGGGGAGAGAACACCTTCTGGTTTTGATCGTAAGTAAAGTTCTCTCTCCTGGTTTTGATCGTAAGTAAAGTTCTCTCTCCTCTGGTGATGGTAGACAAAGCAACGGCCGAATGAGCCCCTTTGAAGCATTGCAAAGAGAGGCAAATACTTTCCTGCTGTTCCTGTGAGCTGACACCTCAGAAGTCAGACCTGTCAGCAGACTCAGTGTTCCAGGTGTTGCAATGAAGCAGAGCAACCAGATGAAAAAGAAGACAGGGCTCCTGTGCCTTTAATCAGGACCATCCAGCACAGGAAGCATTTAATGCAAGCTGTATCTGCTGAAATTTCCTCTCTCGCCCAACTGCAAAAGTTACAGGAACCTTGCTTTGTCTTTCATCTGGTCACCTTACTAAGAAGAGGGTAGCAGAAAGCAGAGCTATCACCTCTGTTGAAGGTCATTGGAGTGTCTGAGAGGCCCTCAAACACTTGAGGTAGCTCTCTTGAAATCCTGCAGCTCATCCAGGCCTTCTCTTCAGCTCAGATCATATCCCCCTATGGATAGAAAGGTCAGCGCTCTAACTCAACCTTAATAGGCCTTGTTTGTGTTTTGTTTTGTTTTGTGGCAAAGAGCTCGTAAAGAACGCTACTTTGAGTTCCCTCTACTGGAGAGGTACCTCACCTGCAAGCAACGCTCCTATTACCTGGTTGGCATCTACGTCTTGCGGAACCTCGTCCACCTCTCCCTCATGGGTGCGACTTGCCTCTACTTGGGATACTGCCATGTAGGTGTCTTTTTCCAAGACGAATTCAGCTGCTCCATCAAGAAAGGACTCCTGCGAGGTGAAGCTAACCTCCCCAACGTGATTCCTTGCAAGCTGGTCCTCTTCTCCGTCTTCCAGGTAACCAGTATCTGCCTTGGCTGTGTTTATGTCCTCATGGGGCCCGTCGTGGTCTACCATTTGCTCCAGCTCTTCCAGTGGGACAAGCGGCTCTTGTCCATCTATGAGATGCTGCCGGCTTTTGACCTTCTCAGCAGGAAGATGTTGACTTGTCCTCTGAATGACCTGAATATCATCCTGCTGTTCCTGCGGGCCAACATCTCGGAGGTCAAGTCCTTCAGCAGGCTGAGTGTCCTGTGCACGCTGAAAGATGTTACTGGAGACAAGGAAAACATTGACACCGTGGTGGATTTTATGACCCTTCTTGCTGGCCTGGAGATGTCAAAGCCAAAGCATCATTTCTGCCATGATGGGAACCCGCTGCATCCCAATGGTGAAATTATTGGTAGGTGGTACCAGTGAGTTTCATTGTCATCCTCCCTTTCCTCCAGGGAGCTCAAAGTGACCTAGATGGCTGTCCTTCTCCCTGATTTAGCCACCACCACCACCATGTGAGGAAAGCTAGTCTGAGAGAGAGAAAGAGAGAGAGTGGCCCGGGGTCATGGCTCTCCGGAAGGAGGTGGACTAGAACATGGTTTTCCTGAGCCCCAGACCAACACTCTTAAGTCGTACTTTGCTTTGGCTTTCTCAGCAGTCAAGGCTTTCTCAATAATTAAACAGAAAGAAAGAAACTCAAGAAAGCCAATAGAAACCTAGAAATGCCTATATTACCACTTCGGGTTTTGCGTTTGGGGGAGGTGGGTGGGGATGGGGGAATATTTCTAGCAGCCTCTGGGGGAAATTTCCTGAAAGCTTCTAAGCTTGGAAAAATGGTTTAATGCATGACTTAATATCTTTGTGTCCTGAGGGGCACCTGTGAGGTAATGTGGGACCTGAGGGGGTGGGGTGTTCATCAGATCCACAAGCTGGCCATCCTCTGTCACAAATGCTTGCTTTAGCGATTCCCAGCAGCATATAAAACAGCAGCTTTTAAAACCGGTGTGATTGTTGTAACGTGGGTTGCCAGAACGGGGTCTCAGAGGCCCTTTCTTGCTCTGGAAATTTGCATTTCACAAGACGTGCCAAGGAAGAAACCACCACGCGATTTCTGCAGGTTTTGTAACTCCCTGTGTGGGGGGATCATTTATTTTCCTAAAGCGACTCTAAGGCGCAACAGTGCAACAGCGCAACCCTTGGAAGCAAGAAAGCCTGTGGTGTCAGATCTCCTACCTTGTGAGGAAAAAGGAAAACATGTCTCACGCTTCCTGGGGGTGGGGTGGGGAACTTTTAATTTCTGTAAAGGACCCTGCTGTTATTCAGCTGAACATAAGGAGCCCAAGAACCGGGCAGCAACATTAAACAAACTGCTTTGAGCATAAGTCCTACCAGTGGCCTTGATACAGATTCACAGCTTTTTTTGGTGCACCCAAATCAAGCGGTACTGTCCGCCACAGATCCCCCCCCAAAAGGTGTGGATATAAGCCCTCTATTGTACAAGGAAGAGGGCACTGTATTTACTCAGAAGACGGAGAAAGTGTATCTTTTCCAAAAACTGAACATGAACAGGGCTAGGAGGTGTTGCGATTTTCCTCACATTGTCCAATGGATTCACATCTCGGTTTTGGCGCTCTCTCCGTTTCGGTGCTTTCGCCTCAAAAGCGAAATCATCACGACAGCCTTGCCATGATGGCAGCCAGATTATGTGGGTGGTCGCACCCAAAGTAATTTTCGCAAGCTCTGCATTCTCTCACAGGACGGAGCAGCTGAATTTGGTGCTGTTTATGAACAGCCTGGTGTGACAAAAGCCAGCACAAATGGCAGAGAGAGGCCCTGAAATATTTATCACCTGCTGCGGGTGCTGAAGGCAAGATTCTCCTGCCAGCACAGCAAATCCTGCCGGAGGAAACACGAGCTGGACAAGGTGTTCTTCTAGAGCTGGAGGCTTTCAAGCGGGATTTTCGGGCTCAAAAGCTTGGAAAGCAGAACCATAAAGATAAAAACTGGTCAGTGGCCACTGTCTTCAGAGTCTGTGGTCTGGACACGGTTTGGCAGGTCTCGGAGGCAGCTTCAAATCCTGTGAGCTACAAAACAGTCTGTAATTTGATCCGTTTTTGTCTTGCAGGATGAGAAGCTAGCCCCTTAAATGGGTTGAAATTTGAATTTAATGTCTTCCTTTGCCCCCTTTGACCCCCAAATCCATTTTATTCCTTGTTTGCTCTCTGGCTTCCACAAAAGATATTGCTGTTTCACTCCAGATACTGCTGTTGGAAACTTCCTTCCAATCAGACATTGCACAGGATCCCACCAGCCCTCCAAGATGTCTTGCAGACAGAAAGAGGGCCATCCTCATATCTTGCATATCTGCTATTCTTGCACCCTAACCCCCGTTTTCCGCTTTTACTGCTGCTGAAAGCCTTTTGCTGCATATATTATTAATCAGCAACAGCTGATTTTCACAAAAAGCAAGGAGAGCTGCTGAGTTGGGAGAAGTTATTTCTTGTGACTACAGATCTCAGAATTCCCTCATCAGCGTCGACAGGGGTGTGGAGTTATCAAAAATTCTTACTTTTTCCAGACTTCAAAGAGTGTCAAAGGGGGCAATTGTTCTGTAAGATTGACTGCTCAAAGTCAAACCTCTGTGGTGCATGGGGCTATGATTTCGGAAGTCCTGGCCTTACGTTCCCACTTAAGTCATGAACCTTATCAGGCTGATTAAGAACCCACAGGATTGTTTTAATCAAAGCACAATCATAAAACAATTGAGTTGGAAGGGGCCTCTAAGGCCATCAAGTCCAACCCCCTCCTCAATGCAGGAATCTAAATCAAAGCAGATCTGACAGATGGCAGCCCAATTTTGCTTCCATTGTCGTACCGTTTCCACAGGCTGATATTCAGCCTAAATCTGGTTTCCTAACTTATGTATCCTGCATGCTGGGATGATTGGGAACAGATCCTGCCCGTCCTCTGTAGTGCTATCATCTCACCCCTCAGTCTTCTTTTCTCAAGGCGAAACATGCCCAGCTCTTTCAGTTTTTCCTCATAAGAAGTTCTGAGTCCCCTGATCATCCTTGTCGCCCTCCTCGGAACTTGCTCCAGTTTGTTGACATCCTTCTTAAAGGGTGGCGTCCAGAACTGGACAAGAAACTCAAAAATGAAGATTCACCATCTTTTTCTTTTCTTTTCCTTAGAAATGAAACCTGCCTTGGAACCTAAAGAAAACTGATGACACAATGAACAGCAGAGGAGAGACGGGCAAAATCCTTTGAAGCACTGAAAAGGACAGCACCATTGACCACCATCCTCACTCAGTCCTAAATATGGGCTCCCCAAAGTCCACGGGCCCTTCCTCCTAAGTCCAAGCTGTATCGTACTGCCCTGTGGTAATCATGTGTAGGCATCATCCAAAGGGCTTATTGACTAGATACCCGTTCTATGGAATTCATAGTTTGTAATAAATATTATCTGTCACCTACAAGTTGCTGGCCAATGCCTTTTCTTTTGAGGACCATCATTCTCACAAAGTTAGACCATCGCATGTTCTGGTAAAATCCTGTGCTCTGAACACAGAGAGAGGGAATGCAGGGCACTCTAGATAGTGCTGGGCTCCAATGTTCATGACCATCCCTATTGGATAGGTTGCCTAGAGCAGTGGTTCTTAACGTGGGCGATAATGCCCCCCAGGGGGCGATTTCATTGGGTGTTAGGGGGGCGCTGGAGCAAGCCAAACCTGTGAAGATGGCTGCAGCCTTTTTACAATGTGCATGAATATATATTTTCCTCCAATCTTAATTTAGTTTCAGAGTTTTAAAATTCGCTTGGAACTAAATCATTAAATGTTACTTTTGGGGGGGCATTTCATTTTCTTGGAATTGAATTTTGTTTTCAGGGGTCATTGCATTTAAGTGTCATAAATAAATAAATAAATAAATAAACAAACAAACAAATAAATAAATAAGATACCATCACCGCGGGGAGGGGGGCGATGATAACTTCCTCAATGGCTCAAGGGGGCGTTTCTTTAAAAAAGGTTAAGAACCACTGGTCTAGAGCAGTGGTTCTTAACCTTGGGTTACTCAGGTGTTTTTGAACTGCAACTCCCAGAAACCCCAGCCAGCACAGCTGGTGGTGAAGGCTTCTGGGAGTTGCAGTCCAAAAACACCTGAGTAACCCAAGATTAAGAACCACTGGTCTAGCTTTAGAATTTGCAGCCCAACAACACAGGAAAGGCCACACAAGTCCCTTCTGCTACCAGCCAGGCAAGAACTCGACAGGCAGACTAGGGACAGAGAGTTGCTTTTGCAGGAATCAGCTGCTTAATATATGTCAGAAAATGGCATAATTCCATGTCTCTTAATAGTGTAAGAGCTAATAATAATTTCCATTGCATGGAAAAGTATTCCACTTCATAGGACCCATTTGCATCTCTCCCTGATGACATCAAGTTCAGTTTTGTAAAGATAGGTTTAGGAAATGCTCTTCTTCCACATGGTTTTGACTGGTGATTCATGCTGCCAGCAGGATCACATCAATCCATAAATTGTCATTTAAAATCTAATCCACAGTTAGCTCTCTATTAGTTTCCAAAGAAGCAGCTGTGTTAGTCTGTTCCAACAGAAACAAAAGAACATTGCCCATGCAGCCCCTTTCAAGGTTTATTGTAATATAAGTATTTCAGATCACAATTTCCAAGACACAAAATTTAGTCTACCTATCTATACACACAGTGAACATGATTGGGGGACAGCAATATGTGAAATGGGATACAGAAAATAATGCAGTTGTCAAAACTGTCAACAGTGACTGATTATTGATCAATATTTATTATATAAACATTCTAGCATTACAGTAATTAGCTAATGGTAAATATCTGCAAGGTCCCGTTGCTTGTCCCAGCACCTGCCAACCTAGCAGTTCGAAAGCATGTAAATGCGAGTAGATAAATAGGTACCACCTCGGTGGGAAGGTAATGGCGTTCTGTATCTAGTCGTGCTGGCCACGTGACCACGGAAACTGTCTTCGGACAAACACCGGCTCTATAGCATAGAGACGGGGATGAGCACTGCACCCTAGAGTCAGACACGACTGGACTAAATGTCAAGGGGAACCTTTACCTTAATATCTTTTGAATAGCAGGCACAATGATTTGTACTTAAAAAAAAAACAGTTGGGGAGAGTTTTTGTGAGAGAAAAAAAGCCACTACAATTTTTTTTCTTTCACTAAACTCCTAATCTCATGACAGCCAACTGTCTCCAGAGAACAGAATTCACGGCATCGACACTTCTAAGGGAAAAACTTAGCAGTTGTTTATTCGTCCGCTTGTTCTCTTTAAAAGGCTTTTAAATAATTACAAATACAACTCCTCTGAAGTACCAAAGGATCACTATTTCTTACCTTATATTACAATGAACATTTACATCTGATCGTCCATGAAACCAGCAAAGCACGTTTCAAAAATAATCTTAATATAAAATCCATTAAATCAAAAGCAATGACTAAAAAGGCAGTGCAAAAAGATCAACAAACAAAAGTGGATCATGGTTCCTTAAAACAGAGGACAGCACATTTAAAAACTAATCACAAAGCTTGGAATTAACACGTTAAAACCAGATGTTGCCTATAATAAGGTAACACATGTATGTACTTGTTTTAGTAATATGGTTACAACAAGGTCACCCTAAGTGGAAAGTAAAAGGCACATCCATACTGAGCATTGGTTAAACTTTCTATGTATAATACAGGTATATATATTTTTTTCTGGTGTCCACATGAGGCTGGAACTGGTATCAACACAGGACAAACAGCATTACTCTCCGGGAGGTGTTATTTCTAAATCGCTGCCAAGCGACACCAGTACATGACCTGCTCATGCAAACCTTGTTATATCATTGATCCACACAGTTCTGTGCTGCTTATGAGTATGTCTCCACGGGTCACCCCTCTCGGCTCTGTAAAACTCCCACCTGTTTCGTTTCCCTTCTTGTTTCCTTCTCCCAGTTCCCCATGCAAACCTTTCCCTGTTCCAAGCAGTCATATAATAGGACCAAGAGACCAGCGGTTGGGGCCTTATCTCCTTTTTTCTCAAGGATAAATTTCGTTTTGTGCTAAGAAAGTAAGGATATTATAATAAGGGTGGGCCAAAGTTTCAGAAGGTTTGGCGCTTGTGTGTAAGAATGGAGCTCAATATGGACAGATGGTGGGTAGATTGGAAGGAGGTAAAGGTGGGTAAAACGTGGTGGCGCTGCGGGTTAAACTGCAGAAGCCTCTGCGCTGCAAGGTCAGAAGACCCACCAGTCATAAGATCGAATCCACATGACGGAGTGAGCTCCCGGCGTTTGAGATCCTGCCAACCTAGCAGATCGAAAGCATGCAAATGCAAGGAGATAAATAGGTACCACCACGGTGGGAAGGTAACAGCGTTCCATGTCTAGTTACGCTGGCCACGTGGCCACAGAAGATTGTCTTCAGACAAACGCTGGGTTGGAAACGGAGATGAGCACCACCTCCTAGAGTCGGACACGACTGGACAAATTGTCAAGGGGAACCTTTACCTTAAGGTAGAGAAGATAAGCAGAAGGGGGCAGGCAATAAATGTTGGGCACCAATTCAAGACCAGTGTGGACATGATGTACCAATATGTATTCAATAGGAACTGACCTCACAATTCTGAATGCAAGTACTGGAAGTATGAATTCAAAATAGTTCAAATCATCATCTTCAACAACAAGAAAACAGGAACAATGTTTAACAATGGATACAATGGATAACAATACCATTGTGTGGACAAGCTTTACATTTCTCTATTGATGTAATGAGTTACACTTTCTAATTACTTTAAAAGTTACTTTAGAGTGTTTTTTAAGGGCACTTTGACAGGATTTTTCAAGTTTTATGGCGTAATGTTCTTTTCAAGTGGTGGAAGGTAACAATAAAGCAACCACCGATGCAATGAGTTGACTTCTAAATACTAATGAGCACCAAGAACAAACTACATCTTAAGCTATATCAGTAACAGGAATCAATTACTTACGAAAAATAATGTCAAATGTCTTCAAAAGCTGCCTAAGAACGGAAAGAGATCATCACTGGCAGCCCTACGTTGGGTGGGCAGCTCCCCTACCAAAAGGCCTTGCTTTTGTACCCCCCACCCCTTCAACCTCTGGACTGGTTTCAAAGGCACTCTTGCACAGAAAGACTTTGCAATCAATCAAGCTTGAAACTGACTAAGGACGAAAGTGTCTTTCCTCCCAGCCTTTTTAGGCTTAAAAGGGGAAGCAGTACTATGAGTAAACAGAAGTTATGGAACCTCTACATAACAATTCAGTTCAGTACTGTATCCAGATTGAGATGAGCTGCTAGACAACTCAAAATCGGGGGGGGGGAACAGATTGCTGGGGGCCTGCTCAAAAGGCAGGACCTGACTTTGTAGGACACAATCAGGCCCAGAAATGTCAAGTCATGAGCAGCAAGGTATCCCCAAAGCAAGGTATCTTCCAGGGTGAGCTTGGAAAAAGCTCTACAGTAGCAACGAAAGCTGGAAGAGTCTAGGAGTTGTAAATGAAAAACTTCTCCGAGATCTGCTTCCATGGCAGTGGTCAACTACTCAACCAGCTGTGGCACGATGCAATGTCACGAAGCTCCAGGGTAAATCATAAACTAAGTGAACCATCAAATGCCTCCTAGCCTTTGTCCTCTCCTGACCTGGCATTTAATACAGACAAGCTTTTAAAATGAAATTCATGAGGCCGACATAGATCTTGCAAGCAGATGGCAGAAGGGAAGCCAAACCAGCCGTCCTCACTCCCACATTATCCATAAGCCTCACATCTGTTCCTTCTTAACACCTTAGTCAGCAAGCCTGGTCTCCTGAGTGAACGCCTGAAAAGCCAGAGCAAGCTGTTCCTCCTCTTCTGCTCTGGTTAGCAAACAACGGGAACAATCGCTATCCTGAGTGCAGACGTCTGGCTCACTGTACCTCTAAAACAGACATGCAATCAGCTCCACTGGAGCAGTGAAGGCAAGTCACCAAAATAACTTTCAGCGCCTTTGGTCTGTGGCCGGGCATTTCAGTGTCAACACGCGGGAGAGCAAGGGGCTCCCTGTTTGAAAAATCAACAGAAGCTCAGATGGTCATCTGAGTCGCATTTTAGTTGCTTTGCCCGCGAGCCAAAGTGGGGAGTCCAACTTTCTGCAGTGTTGTGGCCAAAGCTATGTGTGGAACCCAAAACCCTGGGAAGAGTCAACTTTCTTCTTGAAGCCACAGGACCCATTCATTATGATGCACTTGGCAGACGAAAGCCCAGAGTCCTATTTCAAAGCAGACCCTTTAACAGCTGAAAGAACTGCGAGCAGGTCTGCCGCGTGTGAGAAAGTTGGTGTGATTCTCCGCCGCCGACAGGGAAGAAATGGATTCTGGAACTCCTGCAACATCTTAAAAGGCTGGACCAACCAAACTATTTCTCACCGCATTGATACACCATGTAGGAACTAACAAGTCTGCAAGTTTATGGATTCACATTCAGCAGTGAATCCCACTGGCTTCAGCAGGACGTACCTCCAACTAAACATGCATAGGACTGAGTTGTAAATAGGGCCAGATTAAGACATACGGCGGCCCTCAACTACAGTGGAGTCTCGACTTACGAACGGCTCGACATACGAACGTTTCGACTTACGAACCACTCTCATAGGAATATATGGACTCGACTTACGAACTTAGATTCGAGTTACGAACTCTTTTTCCCCCCTTTTTTTTAAAGCTAAGTCATCTTAGGTCAAAAGGAAAAAAGAAATAAATTATCCCCCTCTAGTGATCGAAGGCGGAATAGCAGCTTCCCATTAGTTTCTATGGACGGAAAGAGCAGATACGGATTAAATGGTTTTCAATGCATTCCTATGGGAAATGCAGATTCGACTTAAGAACTTTTCGACCTGAGAAGTGCCTTCCAATACGGATTAAGTTCGTAAGTCGAGACCCCACTGTATGTCCTACTGCAGCACAATGCACATTATTCCAGCACACTTAAAATATATATTCTATCAGGAAAGCCAATTAAAACAGAAACAATATGCTTAATTTTAAAAAATGCATTTAGAGGTCCATCATAACCTGAGACTCTAAACTCTTAACTTATTTAGCTTGTGCGTAAATGCAACATCAGATCCTGTATGTGACTGATAGGTGTGATTAGGTGGGAGTGGTTTGGTGTGTACCTTCTCTGATCTCCAACGCAGTGGTACCCAATATTTTCTGTATTATGATAAAAGTTCAGACAGTGCAAGAAATTCCCCTCACAAGCAATTCATTTATCCCTTACTTTCCTGGTGAGTAAACAACCACAGTCCCCAGTGTAGAGTCTCTGCTTTGCCATCATTAGCCTGAGAAGTTAACGAACTTTGGAAAAATGTGTCGGTTTCTCCAGCGTCCCTTGGTGCCGCTGGGGTTCATGAGAACAAGACAAGAGGCTCTCAATCCTTCCTAGTTGTTCTTGCCTTACTTATGACACAGTCCAACCAGGGTTATTGCGGGCAAAGGTAATAAACGGAGGGCCAGGCAAGTCGTGCAAATTGTAAATGGGACACTGCTTGTATTCACACGGCCAATCTCCCCATGCATACCGCAGGCCAGCCACGGCATCTGGACAAACTGGGTTTTGCAGCATCACCGAGGAAGAAGAAGATGACTTGATGGGCACAGGGCTCCACTTGCAGAGTGGCTGTTCAGAGCAGCATACCTGCCAAAGAGACAGAATCCACTTTTACTCAAACCTGGCATCACATGTACCTAGCTAGAAATTAAAGCCAGTGATCCCCAACCTTGGGCACCCAGATGTTCTTGGACTACAACTCCCAGAAGCCTTCGTTGCCAGCTGTGTTGGTCAGGATTTCCAGCAGTGGTGGTCCAAGAGCATCTGCAGGCAGAAAGCAGCTCACCGTCTAGAGCAGTGAGTGGTTCCCACCATTGGGTCACCCAGGTGCTCTCCAACTGCAACTCCCAGAAATCCTGCCCAGCACGGCTGGCAGTGAAGGCTTCTGGGAGTTGTAGTCCAAAAACATCTGGCGGCCCAAGGTTGGGGACCACTGATGTAAGCCACCATGGGTCTTTTTTAAGGAGAAAGGTGGGTAAAAATATTCTTAATCAATCAATCCATCCATCGTTTAGCCGCCCAGAGTAGACCTTTGGTCTAGATGGGTGGGATAGAAATCTAATAAATAAATAAATAAATAAATTTAAAGAGTAACTGAGAACAGAGTTCACATTCTGCCTGTATGGGCATCCCTGCCTGTTCCAGATCTCACCTCAAATATCTTGTTGTCCAAGTGGTGAAGATGGACACGTTCTCCATAGGTGACGTTAATATACTTCTTGACCACATTGACCTGCACCTTCTGAGGGTAGGGTCCTTGGAATATCATACTTTTCTCACCGTATGCTACTGCCAACGCGCCAAGGTGCAATCTGTAAGCGACAGTCTGCTTATCGCGTGGGTGGATGCTGCAAAGCAAAAAGAAATGGCAGGAAAAGGTAATTGGTGAGGCCATCTATAACCCACACTTACTTCTATAGGTTCAATGGCAAAACTTAAAAAACATTTTTCCCAGTGCTTATATTTAAAAGTCTATCCAGTTTCTACTTCTCAAATTTTCAGGGAGATCGTTTTAACCTTCCTATCAGACCCTCCTATCAGACTTTGCTTTCCCGACAACGATCAATATGCAATCTCTGCCTTTTGACCCTCCTCCTCACCTGCCATGCCGTTTTCTCCCCACCCACCCAAACTTCAGTCTCAGATACAGAATCAACCATGCAGCACTTGCAATAACAAAGAAAATGTACAGTGGTGCCCTGCTTGACGATTACTCCGCTCCAAGACAAATCCGCTTTACGATGAGGTTTTTGCAATTGCTATTGCTATTACAAAACGATATTTAAATGGGGAAAATTCACTTTACGACGATCGGTTCTCTGCTTCGGGAACCGATTCTTCACTAAACAACAATTTTAAAACAGCTGATTGACGGCTCTCAAAATGGCCGACTGCTGTGCAAAATGGCTCCCCGTTGTGCTTGGATGGATTCCTCGCTTAACAGGCACCGGAAAATGGCCACCCTATGGAGGATCTTCGCTGCACTATGAGGTATTTCGCCCATTGGAACACATTGAACTGGTTTTCAATGCATCTCAATGGGTTTTTTACTTTTGCTTGACGACGATTTCGTTCTACAGCAATTTTGCTGGAACGGATTATCGTCATCAAGCGAGGCACCACTGTATTTAATTAGCACAGTTTACTAAATGGGTGGCTCTAGTGGATCCCACCCTGCAATGAACTGCAGGGAAACCTCTTTCACCGTGCCCTTGATTCACATACTGAAACCAATGCCACTTCTCTTTCTCTCTCCACCTTGTCCGCCATGTGTACCATTCATGCTCTCTCTCTCTCCGCATCTTTCATGCACACCCAACGGGTTCGTTTCTCCTCCCACCCCATCATGCTCCTCCCTTGGGCTCTATTTTCTCCTCCAAAGCTGATGGGGGCACAACAGAGCTCCTGATTCTGCACACAGCATGGAGAATGCTGTCTTAATCTATTTACAGACTCTTTCCTATTCTAGGTCAGAGATGAGGAAACGCTGCTCTTGTAGACTCCAGAGGTCTGGGCCCAGAACTCCCATCAAAATCATTCAAGAAAGGAATTACCGTGTTTTTCCATGTATAAGACTATACTTTTGTCTAAAATCTTTAGACTAAAAATTGAGGGTCGTCTTATACACAGACATAAGCTGAGGAGAGAACAAGTGGAGGGGAAAGCAGGGATCAAAGAGATCCTGCAGCGCTTTGATCCCTTTCTCCCTACACTTGCTAATCCCCACTTAGATTTCTTAATTTTGGATTAGAAAAGTGGGGGATATCTTATACAGTGGTGCCCCACATGACAATGATAATCCGTTCCAGGAAAATCGCTGTTAAGCAAAATCGTCGTCATGCAAAAAAACAATTCCCCATTGGAATGCATTGAAACTCATTTAATGTGTTCCAATGGGGAAATTACCTCGTCGTCCAGCGAAGATCACCCATAGGGGAAGCCATTTTCCGAGCGCCAATCACTTGTTAAAATGGCTGACCTGCAAAGCATGGGTCCAGAAAACACAGGGCAGCCATTTTACGGAGCAACAAATGGTGAACAAATGGTTCGCGAAGCGAGGACCTAGTCGTCAAATGAAAATCCCCCATAGAAATATTGTTTTGTGATCACTATAGTGATCGCAAAAAGTCATCGTCATGCAATTTCGTCGTTCTGCGGGGTCATTGTCATGCGGCACACCACTGTACATGGGGGCGTCTTATACACGGAAAAATACGGTATTGGAACTGTGGTCCAGAACACTGACATTAGGGCACAAAAGCTCCTTACTACTGCTGTACCAGAAAGTCTGGAGAAAGACTGGACCTGTCCTGAAAAATTAAAGACCAGCCCTCCCTCATCTCCAAGGCAGGAATGACTGTCTGGACCGTGAACAACAAATGAAGAAAGATAGAATCAAAGCAACTCATCCCTTCTGATCTCGGCTTAAAAGAGACCCCCATGCAAATACAAACAGGTTAAAGCAACCGGATCTTTGTTACCTGCCGTAGGGAGAATTATGATCACCAAGATCTATGGTCACAGCCATAAAAGTATTGGGCATTTTCTCATTAGGGACGTAGCCATAATCAGCTGTCTGATGCCATCGGATACGCGGAAAGTGATCGTCAGTCACCGCACGACGATCTGTACATAACTGCAGAGCAAAGGAGCTGGTTCAGCACAATATCTGGGATTCCTACAGCAGTGGGTTTCATATCAGATCCCTTCTGGTCTATCATGCCATGCAATTTGGGTGTCATACACCTTTACTGAACAGCCGAGTCCAGAACGTACGGAGGGAATAGTTTCGTCAGGGATATTGCTAACAATACCAACTGGGTCAACATCTAACCCTTTACATCATTTTGTTTATTATATTTATACCCCACTCTTCCTGGAGACCTCACGTTATCGCATATTGTCTCCTATCCCCATTTTATCCCCAAAACTTTATGAGGTGTGCTAGGTTGAAAAATAACAACTGGCCAAAGACCCTGCTTAGTGAGCTTTCAGGTAAGTACCAATTTCACTCATCTCTATAACATCACACTGGTGTATCATCATTCCGTGTTTTGTTACAGAAAGATGGTCCTCTCCTAAAGATGTACAAGCAGTGAGCTGAAAAACAGCCACTACGGACAGAGCGACCTGCCTGCTGCACAGGATTCGAGGCTGCGTCACTGGCTGGAAAGGGTTGCGAAGTGTGGAATTCTATCACCAAATTCCTAATACCCAAGTGTCTGAAGCAGGGATTCGGGAACTGCATGATGTGGCTATGTCAGAACATGGCATAAGTGGTCCTACACAGTATGTATGGGGAAGATGTATCTGGAGATATAAGCAAAAGGTGCTGCTTATAGACTGCTCCATAGAGCTTACAACATTCTCTGGATGGTTTAAAATCATGCGGGCTACATACTGCCCCTCCAGCAAGATAGGTTTACCAACTCAGGAAGGACGGAAGACTGAGTGAACCCTGAGCCGGCTACCTGTGATTGAACCTGGGTTGTGAGCAGAGTTTTGGCTGCAGTACTGCAGTTTAACCACTGCTTCATAAGGCCTCACCACCTTTCCACCCTTCCCCACCTTGCAGGGTTGGAGATCCAGAGGCCCATCTGTCAAAAGACCATCTGCCTGGCTAAACGGAGTGCTCACTTCCTACAATTGCTCCCTGCATTGGACACTGCCAACCAACCCGTCCACCACTTACCCCTTTGGGGTACTGCCACTCACCTGGACAAAGCCAAAGGGAAAGTCAGAGGGAGTCTGTCCCCCAGATCCCTTGTGGAAAGCCCTCCGCCAATCTCGAATGAGGGCAGGGAATGTGCAGTTGTACAGATCTGTGTTCATGAGGGTGTTCTGTTCACCTGCAGGGGACGCACAGAGGAGGATATGAATCCCACTGCAACAGCAACAGTGACGCTAACTCTACCAAGTCCTGCTGTTGGGCTCATGTACCTTGATACCAAATAGCGCCTTGGAGGGTCATGTTGAGGAGAGGGTGAATCATTGCATTCCAGAGTACAGAATAGTCTTTGGGGCCACCATTGTGGTCGGAAACAGGAAATCTGTAACACAAAACATACTCCAACTAGTAAAGAAGGCAGAGCAAGTAGCAATTTATAGCAATACCCGGTTTCTCACTGGCTGAGAACCAAAGGTTAAAGGTAAAGGTAAAGGTTCCCCTTGACAATTTTTGTCCAGTCGTGTTCGACTCTAGGGGGCGGTGCTCATCCCCGTTTCCAAGCCATAGAGCCACTGTTTGTCCGAAGACAATCTTCCGTGGTCACATGGCCAGTGTGACTTAGACACGGAACGCTGTTACCTTCCCACCGAGGTGGTCCCTATTTATCTACTTGCATTTGCATGCTTTCGAACCACTAGGTTGGCGGGAGCTGGGACAAGTGACGGGCGCTCACTCCGTCGCGTGGATTCGATCTTACGACTGCTTGGGCTTCTGACCCTGCAGCACAGGCTTCTGCGGTTTAGCCTGCAGCGCCACCACGTCCCTACGGCTGAGAACCAACCTGCCTTTCAAATACTAAAGTCGAGGGTGAGGCTTTCGAAGGCTATTGAGTTTATGGCTGATGCTCCCAAGAACAGATGGGTCTAGGACAGCAAGTATTTAAAGGCAAAGCCGGGAAAACTTCTAGATTCCCACGATTCCAACTAGTAGGGTCAACGCTGAGGCAAGGTCGGAGCAGTCAACCTCTGGGGAGCCAAGTCTTCCCCACCGACTTTATTTAAGAACAAGGGTAGGCAACATAGACTGTATCACACAATTTTTACACCACTGTGACTCTGACATCTTGTACATTCCTGGTTTTTTGACCTCTAAGTCTCCCCAGGTTTTCATTAAGTTTGACCCACATTTTTTTTAATTATATCAGGAGTCAGGGAACTTTTTTTCCCTTTCCCCCCCCCCCCCAAAAATTATATATGCCGACATTGCCCCCTTGATTTGAAAGGAAGGAAATCATACATTATTTAAATTCAAAATGTTATTGAATCTACACAGGCTGTGTACCAAACTAGCAGGATATATCATCAGTATCAATGGCTGCCAGGCTATGTACCGAACTAGCAGGATGCACCAAATTTAATAAAGATGTGCCCTATTTTTGCTGGAACACATTGCACTCCAGCCATGGGGTGGTATCGGGAGTAGTAAGGTGTCCAACGTGCCTTGCAAGTTGCATTAACTCGCAGAGGATTTAATCATCATCCATGGCTGCCAGAGTGGTGCTAGCAATGACATGCTTGCTAGAGGCAGCCAACACAGAGTTGGGGGGGGGGAGTTTCCTAGCACTTTAATCATTCTGTGTATGTTGTGCAAAAAGGAACAAACCAGGCTAAAGGTCATGTCACCCACCCTGGTGCCACAGCCCAATATCAAAGACCAGTACGCTACTTTTTTAATCATCATCAATGGAAAACTCAGCAGTAGCCAGAGGATTGGAAAAGATCAGTCTACATCCCAATCCCAAAGAAGGGTAGTGCCAAAGAATGCTCCAACTACCGTACAATTGCACTCATTTGAAATGCTAGCAAGGTTATGCCTAAAATCCTACAAGGTAGCTCTGCTCATTACTCCCAGGATTTTCATTTTTACTCAATTTGGGGTAATTTACCCCTGTTCCCAGACCACTGCATTATATCCACATATCTCTAAAATGACATGATGGGTGCACCTTATCTGAAGTTAAGCAATATCCAGCTAAGCTATATCTCAATACTAGAGATGGGACAATTTACTTTTTTTGCACTAGAAGTCTCAGAATATGCCTATCTGCATGGCCAGTGGCCACATTAGCAGTGGTATTCTGGGAACTGTAGTCCAAAAAAAAAAGTAAATTTCCCATCTTGAGTTCCATTAAAGGGAGAGAAAAGAGAGAGGTAAACATAACTGAGCTCTAATGCAGAGAAGTTAGACTCTGCTTTTCTGAATCTGAATTCCCCCAGATTATGTGGGACTATAAATATTTCTAGTTTTGAAAAGTATGGGATTGAATATCAGACTTGACCAGGAAGACTAAGACTCAACGTGCGACTTAGCCGTAAAGCTCCTTGGAGGACCTTGAGCCAGTCATACTTCTTTTCCCAGCTTAACCTACCTCAAAAACAATTGTTGCAGGGATAAAATATAGGACAAGGACTCCCGTAGATTGCCCAGAACTCCCTGGAGCAAAACTTGGATAGGTAAAGGTTTTTTTTTTTTAAAGGTGTAAAAATAAAAAACAGGCCACGATACTTATAGATCTGACAATACAGGTCAAAAGATTTCTTTCCATGTTAAGGATGAATTCATAAATGAAGATATAAATTGCTTTTAAAAAACGAGCAGTATGAGAAAGATGGATCTAATGCACAAGAAAGCAAGGCCATTGACCAACACAGCACTTGATTCTGTAAATTGGACGTTCACGCTGAAAGAACCCACAGCCACTGCTCCGAAGTACCACACAAATTCTCTTCCTTCCAGCTGAGCAGAGTGTCCTGCCAAGCCCTGTCTTGCGCGTGTTATACAAGATTGAGTCAGAACTGACTTATATTGACCTAATAGGAGTTTCAAGATTAGGTGAGATGTTCAAGGTGTGATTTTATCGGTTTAACTCTCCTAGTGAGCATTCATGGCTGAGGGGTTATTGGAATTTCAGCCCTAAAAAACATGGAGACCAAAATTTCCCCCACACCTGCTGTAAGATCTGTAACCATTGGTGCAGGGAAGCCACCTTATGAAAAAGATGTTGTAGGAAACAAGAAAGAATACAGTGGTGCCTCACAAGATGATATTAATTCGTTCCACGAAAATCGGTGTCTTGTGAAAACACTGTCTCGCGAAACGCAGTTCCCCATTGGATTGCACTGAAATTTATTTAATGCATTCCAATGGGGGGAAAAATCGTCATCTCACGAAAATTGTCCATAGAAAACATTGTCTTGCGAAACGCGGTTCCCCATTGGAGTACATTGAAATCTATTTAATGCGTTCCAAAGGGGGGAAAAACTGTCTTGCGAAGTATCAGTCTTTTTTTTTAAAAATCATCTTGCAAAAATCAGCCACAGGAAAAACAGTCTTGCGAAGTGCAACAGCGATCGCAAAAATACCATCGTCTTGCGGATTAATCGTCCCGCGAGGCAATCGTCTTGCAAGGCACCACTGTACATAATATTTTAAGAACAAAAAGCATCCACTCTGTTAGGGAAACCAACGTGCAGCAAAAGAGGGAAGGAACCAAGTCAACCACCATTATCCTTCCTTACCTTTTAGTGTCCCCTGGGGGGACTGCGCATTTAGCCAGTGCCCTCTTTGAAGACCAGGCCTCAATCGGTGTCCCTCCCCATGAGGAGTCTATCAGTCCTATAGGGTATCTGAGCTTCTCGTACAAATACCGTCCGAACAGCCAACACACGGCAGAGAAATAGGTGAAATCTCCGTGGCCCAGGTTTTCTGCTCAACAAAAATTTTAATTTACAAAGTTTAGAACATTCATAAAGTTGAGGCACAACAGAAATGTTATTATTACTACTTCTGCAGGATTTTCAACTACAATATTCTACAGCAGTGACAAAATATGCATTTGGCAGAGCGTGCAACTCTTGAAAGTCCCCTGGACTGCAAAGAGAACCAACCTATCAATTCTAAAAGAAATCAACCCTGAGTGCTCACTGGAAGGACAGATCCTGAAGCTGACGCTCCAGTACTTTGGCCATCTCATGAGAAGAGAAGGCTCCCTGGAAAAGATCCTGATGTTGGGAACGTGTGAAGGCAAGAGGAGAAGAGGACGACAGAGGACGAGATGGATGGACAGTATCATCGAAGCTACCAACATGAATTTGACCAAACTCCGGGAGGCAATGGAAGACAGGAGGGTTCTGGCGTGCTCTGGTTCATGGGGTCACAAAGAGTCGGACACGGCTTAATGACTAAATAACAACTTAAGAATGGATGGGACGCGGGTGGCACTGTGGGTTAAATGGCTATCAATCGGAAGGTTGGCTGTTCAAATCCTCATGATGGGCTGAGCTTCCGATGCTTGTCCCAGCTCCTGCCAAGCTAGCAGTTTTAAAGCATGTGAATGCGAGTAGATGAACAGGTACCACCTCAGTGAGAAGGTAACAGCGCTTCATGTCTAGTTATGCCAGCCACATGATTATGGAAGGTGACTACAGACAAACGCTGGCGCTTTGGCTTAGAAACAGGGATGGCCCCCAGAGTTGGACACGACTGGACTTCGTTGTCAAGGGGAGCGTTTTCCTTTCACTTAAGAACGGCTTCATGCTTTTAATAGGCCCTTAGTGGCACAGCAAATGATCTTGATTGTTGCTGGAAACTGGATACTGGGGGCTGTATGGTGTTTCACACCAAGTCAGAAGGAACTTCCATTAGTGTATACAGATGTATTCAAGCTTTTATACAAAAATCAGCATTAAGAACCTTTCTCAAATACACCTTATTCACCATGGCTTTAACATGTAGGTGGCTAATGGATTAGACAAATTTATTTTAAATCATGTCACAGCTTTATCAGGAAAAACATTTTGTGGGCTTGTGGAGTTTCAGTCTTTTAAACATAGGCAAATACAGTGGTGCCTCGCAAGACGGGCGCTCCATTTAACGACGAATCCACATTACGACGAGGTTTTTGCGATCACAAAACGACGTTTTGAATGGGGGAATTTCGCTGCGCGATGATCGGTTCCCTGTTTCGGGAACCGATTTTCGCTTCCCAACGATCAATCAGCTGATCGTTGGGTTTTCAAAATGGCCGTTGAGTGCTCAAAATGGCTCCCCGCTGTGTTTAGGAGCCATTTTTCGCTGCACAGGCACCCGAAAATGGCCACCCCTATGGAGGATCTTTGCTGGACGGTGAGTTCTTAGCCGACTGGAACACATTAACCAGGCTTTAATGTGTTTCAATGGCTTTTTAATTTTCGCTTTACGACGTTTTCGTTCTACAGCGATTTTGCTGGAACGAATTAATGTCGTAATGCGAGGCACCACTGTATATATATACCCAGCAATCAAGCAAAGTTGAAGAGAGAGTGCGCGCACACACATATTTGCAATTACATTTTCAATCATAACAGCACTTCTGCTCTCTTCCAACTTTTCTTGATTGCCGGGCATGTTCAAAAACAAAATGATTGAGAAAAGAACATAATACAGAAAATTGTGGAATACGTTAAAAGATTTTTTAAAAAAACTATTCAACCACTTATTACTTATTCTAGTGTCTAATTTCTCATCTGAGGCCAAATAACATCTTCATTCTGCAGATCAGGACGGAACACCTTTCTACAATACAAAACATCATGCACTAACCCTTTTCCTAATCCCATTTTAAACCACAATTTGCAGATATTACTTTATTTTTACTTACTATTTATTTATCTTTTTAATTTGTGGACTTGTTACGTGGAGAAAGCAACAAGTGGCATTAAAGAAAAAAATCCCCAGTCTCAACAAGTCTTAGTTTTGAAACAGGTTTTGCATGATCATTGTTCCAATCATCTTCCAGCTACCCTAAAGCAGGGCTGAGAAATCTGCGTTCCTCCAGAAGCTGCTGACGTCCATTCCCTCCAAGCTCTAGCCCATGAAACAAAATCAATTAGAGAGGCAGAGGTTCTCCACACCTGCCCCCAAAACCTACTGCAACGTTTGGGTATACTACAAATCTCACCCCACCAGCCAAACTTACAAGGATAAAAGAAATACAAATAAGCATGTTTTGGACTTAAGACCCCTGAAGCCTCTGTGGACCTTCTGCCGTGAATTTCTGCCTATAAAAATCACTTACTGGCTGTCGGAATAGACCACTGCAAGTTGATGCCGGCCAGGTCCTCCAGTTCAGTTTCAGATTCAACAAGAGCAGGGGCAAAGACACGCACCAGCGGATACTGGGAGGCTGCTGCAAGTTCCTCGCTGGCATTGAATATCTAGAAAACACAACAAATTCCAGCAAAATCACTGATTCAAACACATATTTTTCCAGAAAATAAAGATGCACTTTGAGGCATCGGTTTGAAACTGATTTTAGTTTGTTAACTAAATCAGCTTTAGCTGCAGTTTAGGAAAAGTTACTTTTCCGGGCTACTTCATGTATCTCGATTTCCTTATTTAGGGAGAAAGGCAGTACTTAAGTACACACAGATATGGTGTACTATACCTCCCAAAACGATTTCAGTCACACAGGCTGAAGTGTTCCGGCAGTGGTAACCCAGAAAATACCTTTCCCAGGGTTCGGTTTTCTCAAATACCTTCAGAATGTATTTTAAATCTGGCTTCCATAGAACAACAGACCATGAAACAGTGAAAGCGGAACTAAATCCTGGTTAAGGATGTGATCAGACAGAGAAAAAGGTGTGCAACCAATTTCAATAAAAAAGAGCCATCTCTCTTCAAGTGATCCTTCCGTCCACTGGGGGATCACTCCAGCCCAGCCCCCAACAGGAGCAGCCCTACTGCTGGATCAAAAAGGTCCAGCTTGGGCACAGATTGGGCTGGAGCACGATTGCTCATCCATCGTGTGATCACCAACAAATGGCTCACACCAGACAGCACAAGCAGTCCAAAGTGCAAGCTACATACCCATGAGATGACACCCTAAGTTCACTTCTCACCCTTCACCCAGCCTGTGAACCCTAGGCTTGGTTTGGTTTGACAAAAGCTTGCGCAAGGTACTCTCAAGTCTCAGCTTTGCGTTACCCATTCAAACCACCGGCAGATGAGCTCAATAGAGGCAACTGGTGGCCTTCCAGATGTGGCTGCAGCACAACATTCAGAATTCCTCGCCACTGGCTATGCCAGGTAGTAGGGCTCATGATGGTTGCAACCCAGCAACATCTGGAAGGTTGAACTTAGTCCGTCCCACGTTTAGCCAAACAAACCACAGCATCACATTTGAATCTAGTTCGACATGTGAAGGGCCGTCCTGGCCAGGTGAGTGCGATGCCCTACCTGAAACGTAGCTCACCTGTGAAACGGTCATCTCCATGTTACTCTGCCCGCTACAAAGCCAGACGTCTCCAAAGTAGACATCTTTTAGGGTTACATTTGACATCTTTTTCTTGTTGGACTGCTGGACTTCTATAGTGTAAGGGCCTCCCGGATGCATTGCAAGGAGAAGGACTTTCCAGATTGTGGTGTCTTTTGACAAGTTTGGAAAACAAAGGAAAGACAAACATCTTCAATTTCTTATTGGCTTGGAAATTATTCAGAGATAATATACACACTTGCCTCAGGACGAAAGTTGTGCACTGGCAACCGTCAGCATTGGTGTCACTGCCCAACCATGTCTCTACTCTCTGAGAAGACCTGGTCTCTGATGACTGTCCGCCTGATCTCATATGTGGACAAGAAAGACAGCCACCAAAGCCCATCTCACTGGCTAGAACTAGGGGATTCCTAAGGTAACTCATGCTAAGACACTCACAGGCTTTAAAGACCACTATCAACATTTTAAACACCACCCAGAAGGATGTTCGTAAGAAATGTAGATACAATAACATAAAATACCCTTAAATCTTTCAATGCCAGCCAGGAGTCTGGCAGCAGGTTTTTTCCCCATAAGACGAATTGAAATCTAGAAGAAAAAGTGTCAAAGTCAGTGTGTAACTAGGGCATGAATAATGATGCCAAAACTATCTTCTCAAGAAACCATCATGACTGGAAATCTAGTTGAAGTTTCTAGCAGTTTCTAAATATAGCTGAGATTTCTACACCTGGTCCCCACTGTGGTATATAGGGAAGGTAAGAATGAAAGATAAAAGAGAAAGACGAAGTGGCAGGGGGAGGGGTTTACAACACCTTTTCATTTATTACCTTGAACCATGGTTACTTTTTTCATAACGTGTTCCTGACTACGCCTTTGGCGAAGAGTCACAAATATGTTGGCGCCGGGCTTTCCGTAGCCCCACAGGACCGCTTGGCTGGGCTCTTTCTGTAATACCATGTGATCAGCATAATAGGAGGCAAAGCTAAGCTTCGCACCTGGAGTACACAAAAGGCCAAAATATACCTCGTTATTATTAATCAGGATCTGTCTGAAATGTTGCCAATGAACCACGACGCTGCTCCGAGTGCAAAAAAGAGCCGCCAGTTTGTAACACGTTGTCAAGGCTTATATGACAAGCATCCTGAAAAATACTAGGGCTTATTTTCAGGTTAGGACTTATTTTCGAGAAAACAGGGTATACTATCATAACAATAGACAAAAGATCTAGAGAATATGTGAAAAGAAATCATATTTATTAAAAACCACTATCAGAGAGTCACAGATTGGCTGAGACTGGCATTTGACAAGCTTGGCTTACTTGTCTTTAAGGTGCCAGAAGCTGTTTTTGCTGCAACAGACATAACACTGTTGTCTTAATCACAGCAAAAACAAACAAATAAATAAAAGCTCTAAAAATTGGCACATGATCAATTTTATTCTTTCTTTCTAAAAAAATTAAGTTATTTTATTAAACAGAAAAGTCGTACATAAATACTACCCTATCATTTACCCACTTATGACATAACCAACCCCTTTCCTCCACTCTTTGCTACCCACACCCCATGTGGGATTAGTTCCATATTCTTCATTCTTATATTTCAAATCACCCAATTTCTCTCCAGTGACAAAATCTGTTCTTTTCCTGATGTATACCTCTTCCCTTTCTGAAACACATATAACAAAAACAAATTCCATATTTGTTTAAAATCATTCCATTCCATCATTTCTCTTCTAATCTTAATTTCACAAGTTAGCTTGTGAAATTAAGATTAGAAGAAATTGCCACATACCACATTTCTCTGTACCACTCCTCCACAGTAATTTGATTATTAGCTTTCCTTTTTTTGGCGAATATTAACCTTGCCACTGTCACCATTATAACAATGAATTCCTTTTCTTCTCTCTTCAATTGATTATTATTAGCCAAATTCAACAAAGCAGTCATTGGGGACATTTGCACCTCCACACCAATTATTTCTCTTATCTCCTTGAAAATCATTGTCCATTCCTTCTTTCTTAATAAGACAAATTTTATTCTGAAAATGAAACTCTGTTCATTACCAAGCTTGTGAGAAGTTACAGATGTAGAAAATACCAGATCATGAATTCAAAGGGAGTGCTATATTTAACACAGAATGCTGTAAAAAAAATTCTGTTGACCAAATTATTTGATACTACAGAAAAAGATTTATGACACTTTTAAGGTCAGGCATAATTCCCATATAAAGAGAGAAAGTTCAGTGTAAGTTCATAACGCTGGTCTGGCTCAAGACATTCTACTGCCCGAAGCAAAGGAGAGGATTCTGCCCCCTTCCCATTTCATTTCCAGAAGTCAACTGGACTGGCAGCTGAATCTTAATCTATAATCCAGACCAAAATATCTGGAGAGGATCCTACAGGCTGACAATTCCTATCATGCAGACCTCTGTCTTTCAGCCACTATTCCCAGCATCTCCTGCCTGAGGTGGTCACGTCACTCTGCCCAATAGCAGGACCGGCCATGACATAAACCACATGGATGGGAATATTATGAGGGACAAACAAACAAACAAATAAATAAATAAATAAATAAATAAATAAATAAATAAATAAATAAATAAATAAATAAATAAATAAATAAATAAATAAATAAATGCATGCCCAGGACATTTTAAAAAAAGGTACCACATAAGCAAGAGTCTTATGTGGTACATTTAACTTGAAAAAAATCATAGTAAAATGAGGACGTTTGGGTGTTTGACTGAAGCGGTCTCACCCCAAATCTTTTTCCCTCTGTGTCCTGCCCTCATGCCTTGTCAATCACCCCCCCCCCTCTGCCTCGAGGCCATGAGCTTTCCTCCAGTGACATCAAGGACTCATCCTCCCTCCCCTTTCCCCCATTGACGCCTCTGCTCTTTCCAGGGCTTTATCTCTCTCACCCACACCCCACCTCAGATGGCTCAGTGTGGCGCAGGAAGGGAGGCAGCTAATTGTGCCCCCCTCCCCCCGCTCGTCGCTGGTCACCTGGCCCCTCCTCCTTCATTCATCTCAGGCCAGCAAACGGTTCTAAGAACCAATAGTACATTTAGGAACCGGTTCTATAGAATAGGTGCGAACCTGCTGAATCCCACCTCTGGGCTTAGCCATGTCAGCCCTCCAGAGACATGCATGTGTGAAAGATCAGCCACAGGACTCATGACTCTTGGGCAAGGAAGAATGGCCTCTGCTCTAGTTTCTTAGCACCTTTGCTGAATACCGTGCCATAGGGGTGCTTGGGAGTGGAATGACAGACGGCGTGCCAAATTTGGCACTTCATCCGGGCCTCGGCACAACCATTCTGCGGTTCTCAACTGCCAACTGAGTCTCCAAACCAACACAATGCCATCTGAACTGAAGAAGAGAAGAATATTTAGGGCCTTTTGGTTACAGTGGGCTTTGGCTACTTGTTGGGAGTGCTAAAAGAAGTGCTTCTTGCACAGCTTAAGCTATTTCACAGGTTTGCAAACAGAATATTACACAACGTCATACAGCTTGCCCCTCCCCACAGGGAAACCATATGTGGTTAAGCATGCTATTTGGATAACCTTGCCATATAAACCTTGTGTGTATGCTTCCCTAAACATTGACCCCAACACTAAATTCAAAAGATCATTTCTTAATTGTCAAACACTACCAAAAATAGTGTTAAAATAATCATTTTAATGGCTTATACTGAAAAGATGAGAACAGCTGGGTTCATCAGCAAATCAACTGTCAGTCACTGAAGACTGCAACCTGAAAGCCATACGCTTGCCATGACAGCGAGTTCTTTCCAAACCCTCATATAGCGCAAATAAAGGCTGCTATATGAATCTATGGCTTCTGAAATGTTAGGAAATGAAAAGAGACTGTAGTATTGAGAAAAGGATTCAATCAACATGGAAAAGGACTGTTAGCAAGAGTGATTCTCCATCAGTGATTTGTGGCCCCCAGAAATTTCCAAATTTCAGGGAAGGAAAATAAAAATCAATATTGTATTGCTGTATTTGCAGAATAATTGTATCTATTGCTTTCCACTTATTGCAGAATCCTATCATGCACCCTGATGATGATGATTTACAAATATGTTTAATTTTTTAAGTTAAGCTATTTCATATTTCACTCACATTTCAAATAAGCAGGTTTGAATAGGGCACGAGAATTCTGAGTCTAGCACAACAGAGCATGGTTAAAAGTTGAAAAACACGGGATTAGAAAGATTCATAACTCTCTAAACAAACGAAGCTTTATTCTTTGTCAGAATGCAAAATAAAGCAGAAAAAATGAAGGTGGGGGGAAGAAACTGGGGAAACAAGTCTTATTGCAAGGAGGGGGAGTGGCGATGAGATCCTTAGCCTCCAGGGTTCAAGTGTGGACATTGAGCAACCCCCCACACACTGATCTTTGAACCCAGCAACTGCCCTTCGGACCAGAAAAGCGGAAGGAATTGCACCAGAACTGTGACGTGAAGCTATTTCACCCCTGAGAAAACAAGCAAGCAAGCAAGCGGAAAAGTTGCAGCAAAATCGCTTGGTGTTTTTTTTTTCTGTTTCGCTTCCTCCAGCCCTAGCCCTGTCCCTTCTCCTGGAGAAGGGGGGGGGCAAGTGCCAGAAAGGCACACGCAGTGGCAAAATAGAACTCGCAGAGCTTGTCCGCCTGCTGCGGAGCCGCGGGTTCGATCCCCCACGGCGCCCCTTTGACCGGGGGGGGGGAATTGTCTGGACTCGATGACGGACAGGCTCCCTCCCAGCTCCGCCGCTCTTAACACAGCACCAGTGACAGGAAAACGCATGACTCCGGGCTGCAACCAATTCCCACGAGCTGGGATTTTCCTCCCACTCGTGCTCCTGCGCAGCTGCAGTCCGATCCTTCATCCGGACTCACCTGCAGACCAAGCTGGCAGGAAAAGCAGCAGCAGCAACCCCAGGCACGCCGCCATCATCCTCCTCCGGACACGACGTGGTCCCGAGAGAGCGGCGCCTCTCCACCGTCAAACCTCTTAAAAGAGAGGACACTTCCCCTTTGTCACCCCCCAAGCCTCGAGGGAAGGTGTGGCTCCGGCACACAGGAAACCTGAGTTGATCACCCTAAGGGAGAATCTGGAGTTACACAACCCGTTTGTGGTAGATGATTGGCGAGTTTATGGCCAACGGCTCCCACCCCAGGAGCGAGTGTACTGTTGCCCCCTTTGTGGCGGCCAGATCTTACACGTGTCCGTTGTGGGTGGCCTCTAAAATAAAATCTGGCGCGACCCTTCCTCTCTCTCTGCCTGAAAAGCCTCTCCCAAAATGGGGGGGGGAGCCTTGGGCAAAGTCCAGGCAGGTGAATGGGGACCCCAGTGCCCCCCCTTGAGAAGTACCTGGGATGCTGGCCGTGGGGGGTGGGGACACGATTTGGGGGAGAATGCTGTCGGGTGCAGGGCTCTGGGGTGGTTACCATAGGGACTTGACTCTTGCATTAAGTCCCCCTTTGGGTTTCCCTAGGCCTCTTCTCTCTATTTGCGCAAAATGCAGGGCAATCCTGTCCAAAAAGTGGTTCCCAGGAAACCTCACGGGAGGAGAGTGCTTTGATTAGGCTTAAAAGGGCATCCACTGAGCTGCTGGCGGGGCATCGCGAACAGAGTCGCCTTTTATTTATTTATTCAATATATATATTTTTATCCCGCCTTTCTCCTTGAAAAGGACCCAACGCCAGGACTCGCCAGACTCGTGTCCTTCGCCTCTCATTTTAAGCGTGTGAATGTCCAGGCAGGAATCATTATCAGCAGCAGCAGCAGCAGCAGCGCCCACTCGCGACATTGCACACCTTTGGGAAGAAAACCCTATTAAGGGTCCCCTAAGCCGGGCCTGACTGACGGGACAGACCATCCACAGAAACCAGGCATGTGATGATCGCCGTGGGGGGCTCAGGACCAGCATCCCTCTTCCCCCTACAGTATTGATTTCAGTAATTAAGAGGAAATGACTCACCAAACCTACGCTGCTCCAATGGACCTACTCTAGCTGGGAATTCCCAATGGATTTTCGCCTATATATTGTTAATATATTGGTTTTAACTTCTAAGGCGAATCAAGTGGGTAATTCTTAACTCTCCTGCTAAAAAAAAATGTAGGGTTTGGGTGGCGACTGGGACCTTCCCCAATGTCGCTGGATTGCAGCTTCCATCACCGTCCCTTCCCCATGGCATGGGGATGATGGAGGTTGTAGTCCTTTCCCGGCGGCCCAGTCACCTCTTGTGCCGGATGAGTCCCCTCCACGTGGCTAGCGCGTGGGGGGTGTAGCCCCCCCTTTTGCCCTGCCAAACGCCGGCGGGCGCGTGACGTCACCGTCCCCTTCTATGACGTCACCCTCCCCAGGGGTAACGGGACGGGCTCGTCCTCCCCTACCCCAGCCCTCAGTGTCAACGGGCCCGGGTTGAACGGGTCAAGAGCCGGGGCTCCGTCGCTTAGACCGAAAAAGGCTCAGCCTTCCCGCCGCCGCCGCCGCCGGCCCGCCTGAGAGGACGCGAAAAGCCGCCATCCGAGGTGGGTGGAGTGGGCGGGGCGGAGGTTATTTATGCCAGGAGGCGGGAGATGCATCCTCTGTGGGCGAGGGATTGGATGAAGGGGTTCTGAGGATGAAGGGCGGGGCTTTTGTCCAATGGCCGGACCGTTCGAGAGCGACTGTAGGGCGGAGCGCCGAATGTGCAGAAGAATCGAAGCGAAACCAACCAACCAAACAGTGTTGGGGTATTCTGTCCCGTCCCGCGTGCCGTCCCAACCCGCGTTGCTAAGGCAACCAGAAACAAATGCCGGCGCCTCATCTCCGCCTCCGGGAAAGGGGCTCGTCGGGGGCTGAGTCCGCGGCTTTCCTACCTTTCCTTCCGCCCCCGCTTCCCCAACAGTCTGCTCTTCGTGGCGCTCCGGAGGTAAAGACCGACGAATAGGGCGGCGAGCCGTCCGTCCCGCCATGCAAAAGCCTGGGGATTGGCGGCAAGAGGTCGGCTCTTTGCTTTGGTCGATTCCCCCGGTCAGTTTGAAGCCCGGCTTGTGCTCAGCGATGTTGAAGACGAGAGTGCTTATGAGCATAAACAGAGTGCAGCCCCCTTTCCTTATCACTTTAACTAGGAGGCGTGGCTTCCAAAAGCAGCCAGTTCTTTTCCTGATGGAAATCTCATGTTAAATGATAAAACACGGACTTGGGCGTCATGCAGTTTAGGCTTATGCCAGTGCATTTTGTTAGATGCCTGGAATGTTATCCAGAATTCAAAGGTATATATAGTACTAAACAGAGTAGGATAGCTGCTCAGGTATCCCCAAAAAAGGTGCTACCAGCCCTCAGGAATCTTCCATCAGTCGGCAGGAAGAGAAAGAAAAACGTCCGAAACTCATTGTGGCCACTAGATGTTGAATCTACAGGATCTGAAGTTAAACTAAAGTTGCAACTATGATCTGGAAGGTTTTGACCATATCAGTTTTTAGGTGATGTGAAAGAGATCGTTTAGTTCTGTAGAGAAATCAAGGAGATCAGCTATTCTGGTTCTTGTTTTTTGGAACAAGGAATAGCTGGTCAGCCAAATGGATATCATAGGAACTTTGGAGGGATGTGCCCATGCTCTCTTGAGATTTGTTATACAGTACAAAGAAAATGCAAAGCTGAAAGTAGTATAACATACACTCTGGACTTCCAGATAGCTGATTTAACAAGCTTAAAGAAGTATTGGGTTAAACCCCATGGTCACAAGGACTCAGAAAGAAGGAAGTACCTGTAGAATTGCAGTTTGTTAAGAGGCACAGTCACAGACAATTTCTACAAGAAAGAAAAGTGGAAGATATCTAAAGAAATTGAGATGAATGCATAAGGACCTTTTAGATGAGCAAGATGTAAAAGGTGAATGTATAGAAAATGGAAGGAGAGTCAGATCACATAGGAAAAGTACAAATGGGTAGCCAGAATCTGTAGGGAGAGGAGGCAAATGTTCAGAATGCGCTCATTACCCACAAGACAGGTTAAAAATAACAAGTAAAGAGTTTTAGCTATACTTGGCGCAAGAGAAAGAAAAAGTAGTAGATTTGCTGCATGGCAAAGATTGCAGAAATAGTAGTGGGTGAGCGAGAGAAGGCAGAACACCTACTTTGCTTCTGTCTTCTCCCAAAAGGAAAGCAGTGCACAATTATCACAAATAGATTAAAGGAGGCAGTGAAGGGGCAGCTGCACAAAATAATTAAAGAGGTGATATAGGAACACCAAGCTACTCTCAGTGAACGCAGGTCTGCAGGGCAAGATGAGCTGCATCCAGTGGTATTAAAAGAACCTGCAGATGTAATCTTAGAGACTCTATCTGTAATCTGAGAATTTTCAGAATAGATGAGGTTCCTGAAGATGAAAAGTAGGCAAATGTTTTCCCA